GGCGGCTTGCGGGGCTCAACCTGAACGCTCTGTGGTCTGGAACTCTCATTCTCTTAACTCTGTATGTGTCCATTGACATTTCTCAATGACAAGTCTTGATATTTCTTCACCATTGTGACACGAGATGTCTGCTACCGATGTTTGGCACCGCAGCTGGTGCCGAAGCAACCAACGATCCTTGCTGCCTCTCTTTTATCTCCCATTGCTGGACCTTTTCAGAGAAGTGTATGATTTGGGTTAAGTATTTAGGTATGGTATGTTCATTATGTTCATATTATGCTAGACGGAAGATACATAATGTATCATGATGCTACATATCTGTTTATAGTGTTATATATATATATGCGTATGATGTATGCTGTACAAATGATAACAATTACATATAATCACTTAAGTTCATATAAGATCATATAAGTATATGTGTATAATATATATAAAGGCATTCTCTATTGTCATCTACCAGTTGTTGCCTGCATTTTTTGTTTATGGTGCAGCCCAGTGAGGCATCAACAAGGAGATCGACTGAGAGAACCTGTGATCGGAGATGCCTCAGTTGTCCTTGCATGGCTGGTGCGGTTCATTCTAAAGGCATCTTAAAACATCATGTTGCCATATTTTGCCTGGCTAAAATTGTCCCGGTATCTTTGAAAACGCTTCAAAACCTCCGATTCCTCGCCAGCTACAAATGTCTCCCGTCACATGGCCGATGTGGGTCCGGAACTTTGGCACTGCGCCATGCTTCCCATCGCCTGAAACCCGGCGCATACAAATGTCTCGCTGCTTCGGCATGTATTTCTCATGATTTATCATTGTCAGTGGCGCCATGTGTCGCCCTTTTCCTCTACGTGACGAGTCGCCTTTTCTAGTGAACTTCAGGACGTCGGACGCTTTCAGTGAAAGGGCCGGTTACGTGCATTGAATTGGCCGTTGCGGTCGCAGTTTGGCAGTTAGGCCTTGGGAGCGTTGTGACCACGGCCCGGTTAGGCCTTGGGGTCAATAACCGTAAAACAACCTAGTTGCATATAGGGTATACCCCAGTACATGACATGCACCCCCAAGTAGCGAAATGGGATGTGATTGGCAAGGGTAGAGACTGTTAGAAGAAATGTCAAGGTCAACAATGGTGGAATGGTGCAGAATAATGTGCTGATGTTTGTTGTCTTTCACTCTTTTCATTTGACACCACATGTTTGATGCGCTGCCTCAATCTGTGGGACTTGGGTTGGGCCGCCGCTGCTGCCGCTTCCCGTATGTTTGAAGTTTGAACTCGGGGTCCTTGCAACGTCCTCCCGTTGTGTGCCAGAAGGGCATCCATGGGAAAGGCCTGTGGCTGATGTTGTTTTCTTTGGATATCCCAGGAGTTGGGATTAAAGGTCGGGAGATGTCAGAAGCAGGATGCCATGAAAGATATAGTAAAGATATCAGGATTGCCGAACCCTCTTACTTGCTTTCAGCGTCCACTTTAAGTGGTGAGCAGAGGAGCTGATTTCTTGACGTGTCGAGTCTGCTTGCCACTTCCGTTTACGTGGCATTATTCTTGTTCTGGAGGAAGACTTGGAAGAAGCTCTTCCAGATGAAGACGGTGAAGGAGATGACTATGATAGAGATGAGGACACAGACAACGACTCTCAAGATGGTGAAAATCTTGACTACAGATGTTGCATTGATAATACAGGATTGCATAAAGAAAGCCGCACTCTCGGGTGCTTGGACCTCCCGGATTTCCCTCCCTACTGTAACTTGCACTTGCTTGCAAGATCTCTTGCTGCATACATGAAGGCTATTTGTTCCCAGGCCAAGTCAAGTGTTTCACATGCAACATTCGCGATCATTCGCGCAAAATTCAACAGCTCCAAAATCCGACCCATATATGTTTGTCCCGTTCTGAAGGGAAATTCTGCAGGAAACCCCATTGATTTCACAGATTTGGTGGCCACATGAATGGTTCGTCCCTTGAACCAATCCAGGTTTCACCAATCCAAAGGTTCATCGTTGTCCTATTCCTAGCAACTCTTCGGTTATCAAACCTGGTTTGATGGAAAATCCCCATCTAGTTCGATGATTTTCCCAATATAACTTTCATTTGCAGGGGAGGTCCCCATCTTGGCCACCATTTTTTCCTATGGTTTTCCTATGGCTTTCCCATGAAAAACTTCCATTGATAGAGGACTATCCCAAATTGCTTCATATTTTCCAATGGTTTTCCCATTAAAAAGTCCATTGATAGGGGATTTTGAGCTCAAGCTCGTGTAAAAGACGCAGGACTTTGACGGTGACTACCATGGAAGCGAAGCCTTCGAGCTAAAAGGCTCTGAAGAACTGGCCATGGAAGCTGGGCTAAACCCCATCACTATTTGAAGGCTACCCCCACAATAAACCATGGTTTATTACTCCGGGGTTGACACTATTTTATATGATTATATATATACATATTATGATACATATATTATGATTATATATATATATACACATCATACAACTATCTATATATAGGGCGTGAAATAGTATACAATGCGGTATAATACGGTATATGTACATGTATATGTATTTATAATATGATTGAATTCTACATATACATATCCGTGTATATATTGTATATATATAATTTGATAGTAATATAGTATAAATTAACTATATATATATACATTATAATATATATATATACTATATATTATGTGTATTATATATTTTATATATTATATAATATAAACTATATATAATATATTAAATAATATTTATGATATATTATATATTATTTATATTATGTATTATATAGTATAAATTATGTATTATTTTTTAAACAGTATATATTATATATTTTAGTTCATATATTATATATTTGTTTTTGTATAATTTATATTATATATTTTATTATATATCTATATCAGATTATATTATATTTATATTTTATTATATTATGTAAACTTTATATATATTATATATATTATATATATTATATATTATATATATTATATATATTATATTATATATATTATATATATTGTATATACTATATATTATATATATTATATATATTATATACATTATATATATTATATATTATATATTATATTATATATATTATATATATATATATATTATATATATATATTATATATTATATATATTATATATATATTATATATTATATATAATATAATATAATATAATATAATATAATATAATATAATATATTTAATACATATATATATAATAAGTAATGTATATATATATATATGTTATATTAAATATGTTTATATATATATTTATATATATTTATAGTCAGATGCTGTTGGGTGTTGGGATGCGGTTTGGTCCGAAGTCTGAGGATTATGACGTCTTTGGCAAATATGTCAAGAGTGCTCAGATGGAAAACGGAAAGCCGGTCTTCCTGGGGCAACTTGTTTGAAGTTGTGCCGGTTTTTTGCGGTCCTGTCCATCCCAGAAAGAACGATGAACTACAGCCCAGGCCCAAAACTGAGGGCTCACGTCCAAGCATTGCCTTCACAATGGCAGCAGATGGAAAGCCAACATGGTGGGTTTGCGACGCGTTGAAGCCTCAAGACGCTTCAAGGGTCTTCAATGTATTGCAGGTACTGCAAGATGTGAAGTCAGTGAAAGCCAGCAGTCTTCTGAAATCATTTGAATGATTTTGGCGATTTCATTCTCCCCAAGTTTTTCTCGGACTTTGCAAACATTCATTCTCAGGTCAGGCGGCGAATGCTTTTACGCAGAGTCAGATTCCGACATCCCTCCAAGGAACGGGAATATGTCAGCAGATGCAGCCTTGATCCGTGCAAGAATGTCCAATAATTAGCCATCCATTTACATGCAGTTGTGTCACTGTTTTTTCGTACATACACATGTGAAATATATTTTTGTAGTATGCGGGCATAGAAACACATTCAAGGGAAATATACCTTGCACTGATGACGTTTTCTTCACCAGGAAAGGTTGGCGAAAAGAATACTCAGAGGATGAGTTGGAAGTTGTCTTGGAAGCCTGCGAGGAGCACATTCTGAATACATCTGCAAAGATCTGCAAAGCCAAGTTATATATAATCATTATCATCCAAGTTCATTGTTTTTTGTTTGGCATGGGGAAAGCAATGGTTTGGGGTACAGCTACCCATATTTCAGGAAATATCGGAAATATCCACATGTCAATGGTTTTTTTCCCTCTGGACTTGGCAGGGCATGGATGGAGAGAAGGAGATGGGCGAGGGATTTTGCATCTTGATGCAGAACCTGAAGCTGATAGATCGTCACAAAGACGAGAAAGAATGATTCCTGCACATAGTGGTCTCAGGATGGATATGATGGACAGCATCTCAAAGTTTTGATCATGTATGTATATATATATATATATTTAAATATATATATATATTATATTATATATGTAAATATAATTATATATAAACTGTGTATAACCTATTTTGCCATGTATTGCCCTACAGTTTTGCTTTGCGAAGCTCAGCTCAGCAGGACTCTCGAGCTCGCTCGCGGAGCCCTCGACGTGAGAAGTGCCCATGGTAGATCCGGCACCGCCACGACAAGCCGTGGGCACAAGAACCCATTTGATCTCAAGAGCTTGCGTGGACGTGATCAATTCAGTTTTAAAAAAGGAGTCACATCCAGAACAATTATTCGTTCGAGCTGGCATGAAATTCAGATTTGTGGGAGAATTGCTTTGCAGATTAGATTGATGCAAGGAATCTAAAGAGTTGACTCGTTGGAGTTTGCTGTGACAACTGGCTGCATCAAAGCCTAAACAGGCAGAATTGGAGAACAGGCAAATCTGAATGTCGAGATATTGTCAGAGGCAAAGAGATGCCAAATTTGTGTGGTCGAAAGGTCTCTAAAAAAAGTATGCCGGACGGAGCTTCCGGGTCACCCGCTCTAGTCAAAATCAAATTATATAATTATTTATCAATCCTTATAATAAGGTGGTTTTTGTTTCACTGTATCGCAGTCCTTAACTCCGCTCTTTCACGCAAGATACATTGATGGAGCTAGGCTTATGCCATGGTTGTTACCACCGTGCTGTGGCGGTACTGGCAAAAGCAGCAGTACGAAGAAGCCATCACCGAAGTTTGTGCATTGTTGGATGTGAAAGAAGAATCCTTCAGTTCAGATCAAGAGCTCCTGGCAGCTGCTGCTGACACCGAAGCTATCCGACCTATCCCAGGGAGTTTCCCAACTGGGGAGGCTGAGAATTTGGCAAACTTGGCTCTCTTTGGCTGCAGCTGTTGCAACCGTTTGGCCGAACGGGTGCGCAAGGACTGGCGGGTGGCAGCCCACTGGTGCGCCTTGGCGCGGTGCTTGGAAGCGGCTGGCGATGGCGCTGGTCCTTGGGCCATGGTCAGATTCGAACGTCTGTTCCACGCTGCCGAAGCCATCCGTGTGGCTGGAAAGGATGTTTTGAAAAATGATGAAACTGGACGATTGACACTGCCAGACTATCATCTACGAGCATCCCATAGATGTTTGAGAGAATGTGAATCGATTTGGCTAAGGCTGGGAATTTCTGGCTTGGAACCCCCCACCTTTTTGGGGACGATCCAATCTCTGGCAGGTGGCCATCCTGTACTAGCAGCCCAGAAAGCATCTACACATGCTGCTTGGCAAGCATTCAGTGTGAATAGGTATTTTAAGGATTTTTTAAGGAGCATTTCGGAGCAAAGAGGGTCCAAAAAAGGTCGAGGCATCAACGTGTCAGGAGGTGCTGGTTAGTATAAACAGTATATAAATATGAAAATATTCCAAACACGTGCCAAAAAAGATGAATGTTCTCTCCATTTCTTGAACAAACCAGGTTTGGCAGAGGTTTGCTGGCAACTCAAGGACCAGCAAACAGCTTGCAACGTATTTCTATGCAGTGGTAGAAGACCCTTCACGGCAAGTACAAGTATCAAAGCTATCTATAGGTGTTCGATTATAAGGATCGCAGATGATCGCAGTCGTTTTCGCTAAACGCTGATGAAGTAATACCCATAGGATCCTATGGTTCTGGTATATATGCTAACATAAAGGGGGTATATCGATGGTAAATGTATGGGATCCATGGCACACCATATTTTTTCGCAGCACCATGGGATCCTGTGAAATCGACGCCTGGAGGACATGGAATCGGTCCGGTCCAGCTGTCGAAAGGCGTCTCTTTCTCAATGCAATGCGTTTCCTGAGAAGCAAACAGATGAAAATGTGCTTGCGACTTATGCTCATCATCATCATCATCATCATCATCATCATCATCATTTCATCTCATGTCGATGTACCGCAGTCACAGTCACTTCTCACTTCAACGGTCCTCCATTCATCAATGCCGAGGCTGTCGCTCATGTCTGACTGTGTGGAGCTCGGATTGGTGGATACTCTGCCTCGCTGAGCCTCGCTGCTGTCGAGTTTTTTAAACCCCATCCATGTCATTCCATTTCATTCCATTTCATTCCATTTGGGTATGGGTCAATACCTATAGATACATTTTTACTGGGATGAACATCCATAAATCCCAGCTATTTTGATGTGAACTACAGGGGTACAAGGGTTTTGACCCACTGCCATGTCATTCCATTTCATTCCATTTCCGAATTTTCCAAGGCCTTACGCCAGCCAAAGTTTACGCCTGCATGTTTGTTCTTTGGGTCTTCCAAAGTTGGGAGCTCAAATCTTCACTGGCACTGCATCACTGTATCATGGCACGTGAAAAACACGGAAAAACACGTTTTTAAAGGTGCTGCTGTGGATGTCTTCAGCTGGAGAGAGGCATTGGGGAATCTGGATCTTGATGCCGTCAACATTTGGAACCTGGCAGCCTGGTGGTTTGCCATCCGTCAGGTCCGAGCTGCTCTACATTGTGCCAGGGACATGTTCGAGAGGCGGGGAAGCGACATGGACAGCAATGGACTGGCCTGTCAACTTGGACAAATCACGGTTGCTGGATGTTATTGGAAGATATTTGAAGGTATAGTATGAGATTGATATTATCTGATATACATTGTTATAGACTAGATTGAAAATGTATGAACATGTATGAAATGGGGTGCATATGACCAGCCCGTCAACCACTTCAGGGACCCCTTCAAAAACAACTCGATCGCATCGGTCATTCGGATTGACCAGTCCCTTAAATTTGAGCTATATACTTATAATTACTTGTATAATACTATCTATGTATGTTTAATACTGGGGGATACATAGATAGATAGATAGATAGATAAGATAAGATAAGATAAGAATAAGAATAAGATAAGAAAGAATTGGATTGGATTGGATTGGATTGGATTGGATGGATAGATAGATAAATAGATAGATAGATACATAGATAGATTAGATATATCCCAGTAGATAGATCTCAGAATTCCACTCCATCGCAAGGCTCCAGGCCAGCGCTGTGCCGCCACAGGATCTTCGCCCGTGGAGCTTGCTCAGTTTCTCCCAAGGATTTACCATTGATTTACCAGTGATGGTTGGAAATGAATTTACCATGTTTATCCAACCATCAATGGTAAATCAATGGTAAATCAATGGTAAATGGTTGGATGATGATGGTTTATCATGAATTTACCGGTGAAATCAATGGTAAATCAATGGTAATAAAAGATCCAAACATGGATAAACCAATGGTCAATTTATGGTAAATTATCCATGTTTGGATCTTTTTGTTGGTGAATGATGATGATTTGCCGGTGTCTTACCATTGATTTACCCAGATATTTGATGTTGGTGTGTTTGTTTCAACTTGTTCATGAAGCTGCACTCAAATGATACTCAACGTGCAACGCTAAGTTCATCTGAACGGAAGTTCGGTGGCTATGTGGCAGGCACACTCGACTTCTGAAACGTTTGCAGCGTCAAGGATCAGTGGTGACAAGCTCAGAATTCGCTGATCTTCAGGGTATTGTTCAGCAATGGATGTCCCAAAATGGCCATGACTTTCTATGGGATGACTTTCTATATAAAAGTCTATGGACATCCAGTAGATTGTCGAATGGCCATTTTATAGTGATAGTTACCCCATGACTTTCTATTCGATGGAAATCTACGGAATGACTGTCACAAAAGTCTATGGGCTTTTAGCGCTTTCCGGATCTTGATATCTTGAGAAAAACCCGAGATGATCTGAAACTCTGGTAGCCCCGAAATCGGGTAGCCAGAATTTCCCCAGATGGATCAGATGGCCACATGGGTTGCAGTCCGCCCAGTTTCACCCATTTCTGGCTAGGCAATGCTAGGCGATGGAAATTCTTAGATCATCTTAGATCCCAACATGTTAACCATAACATCTACCCTTTGGATCCCTTTGGTAATAGAATGGGCTAGCGCCCAGGTGCCGCCGACCCCCCTCTATTTGGGGGGGACTGTGGGGAGAGAGAGAGAGAGGAGAGGGAGAGAGAGAGAGAGAGAGGAGAGGGAGAGATGGATGGATGGATGGATGGATGGATGGATGGATGGATGGATGGGGATGGATGGATGGATGGATGGATGGATGGATGGATGGATGGACGGATGGATGGATGGATGGATGGATGGATAGATAGACAGACAGACAGACAGACAGACAGGTAGACATGTGAATAGATGATACAGTAGATTGATGGATAGATAGAGGGATAGAGAGAGAGAGAGAGAGATAGATTGATAGATAGGTAGATAGACAGTTGGATAAACAGATGGATAGATCGATTGTTGGATAGATAGATAGTGGCATAGGAAGAAAGACAGATGGATTTATATATACTTTGAGTGTCAAGGACCCTCCGTTCTTAGGACTGTCATTGTAACCTCATGTTTTTAGTCCTTTTGTGAGTTTGTGGGGTAACGTAATGAAAAAAAGGGTTTTGCACTTAGGCGGTACATAATCATACATTTTGGAGCGTTTGGAGAGTTTTAGAGGGTTTGCGGGCTGGCAAACGGCAGCGTTGAAAGCGCATAGAAAGCCATTGCTGTGGCCTGGCCCTGGGGTGCCTGTTGGGGAAGTGGCCTTGGCCCTGGCCCTGGGGTGCCTGTTGGGGAAGTGGCCTTGGCCCTGGGGTGCCTGTTGGGGAAGGTGTTTGGAATTTTGTTTTGGAAAGTTTGGAGCCTTTGTGGGCTGGCAAACGGCAGCTTTGAAATTCATAAAAAGTCTCATTGCTGTGGCCCTGGCCCTGGGGGTTTGGAATTTTGGAAGGGTTTGGAGCCTTTGCGGGCTGGCAAACGGCAGCTTTGAAAGCCCATAGAAAGTCATTGCCGTGGCCCTGGCCCTGGGGTGCCTGTTGGGGAAGTGGCCTTGGCCCTGGCCCTGGGCCCTGGCCCTGGGGTGCCTGTTGGGGAAGTTGCCTTGGCCCTAGGGTGCATGTTGGGGAAGGTGTTTGGAATTTTGGAAGTTTGGATCCTTTGCAGCTTTGAAAGCGTCAAGAAAGTCATTGCTGTGGATCTGAGGTGCCTGCTGGGGACGGTGTTTGGAGGGTTTGGCGGGTTTTGGAGGGTTTGGAGCGTTTGGAGCGTTTGGAGAGTTTTGGAGGGTTTGCGGGCTGGCAAACGGCAGCTTTGAAAGCCCATAGAAAGCCATTGCTGTGGCCTGGCCCTGGGGTGCCTGTTGGGGAAGTGGCCTTGGCCCTGGCCCTGGGGTGCCTGTTGGGGAAGTGGCCTTGCCCTGTTTTAAGGAAGGTGTTTGGAATTTTGGGGGGGTTGCAGCCTTTGCGGGCTGGCAAACGGCAGCTTTGAAAGTCTCAAGAAAGTCATTGCTGTGGATCTGAGGTGCCTGCTGGGGACGGTGTTTGGAGGGTTTGGCGGGTTTTGGAGGGTTTGGAGCGTTTGGAGCGTTTGGAGAGTTTTGGAGGGTTTGCGGGCTGGCAAACGGCAGCTTTGAAAGCCCATAGAAAGCAATTGCTGTGGCCTGGCCCTGGGGTGCCTGTTGGGGAAGTGGCCTTGGCCCTGGCCCTGGGGTGCCTGTTGGGGAAGTGGCCTTGGCCCTGGGGTGCCTGTTGGGGAAGGTGTTTGGAATTTTGTTTTGGAAAGTTTGGAGCCTTTGCGGGCTAGCAAACGGCAGCTTTGAAATTCATAAAAAGTCTCATTGCTGTGGCCCTGGCCCTGGGGGTTTGGAATTTTGGAAGGGTTTGGAGCCTTTGCGGGCTGGCAAACGGCAGCTTTGAAAGCCCATAGAAAGTCATTGCTGTGGCCCTGGCTCTGGGGTGCCTGTTGGGGAAGTGGCCTTGGCCCTGGCCCTGGGCCCTGGCCCTGGGGTGCCTGTTGGGGAAGTTGCCTTGGCCCTAGGGTGCATGTTGGGGAAGGTGTTTGGAATTTTGGAAGTTTGGATCCTTTGCAGCTTTGAAAGCGTCAAGAAAGTTATTGCTGTGGATCTGGGGTGCCTGCTGGGGACGGTGTTTGGAGGGTTTGGCGGGTTTTGGAGGGTTTGGAGCGTTTGGAGCGTTTGGAGAGTTTTGGAGGGTTTGCGGGCTGGCAAGCAGCAGCTTTGAAAGCCCATAGAAAGCCATTGCTGTGGCCTGGCCCTGGGGTGCCTGTTGGGGAATTGGCCTGCCCTGGCCCTGGGTGGCCTGTGAGGAATGCCTTGCCCTGTTTAAGAAGGTGTTTGGCAATTTGTTTGGGTTTTGGGGGGCTTGCATCTTTCGGGGCTGGCCGCAGCCTTGAAAGCCTCAAGAAAGTCATTGCTGTGGATCTGGGGTGCTTGCTGGGGACGGTGTTTGGAGGGTTTGGCGGGTTTTGGAGGGGTTGGAGCGTTTGGAGAGGTTTGGAGGGGTTGCGGGCTGGCAAACGGCAGCTTTGAAAGCCCATAGAAAGCCATTGCTGTGGCCTGGCCCTGGGGTGCCTGTTGGGGAAGTGGCCTTGGCCCTGGCCCTGGGGTGCCTGTTGGGGAAGTGGCCTTGGCCCTGGGGTGCCTGTTGGGGAATGTGTTTGGAATTTTGTTTTGGAAAGTTTGGAGCCTTTGCGGGCTAGCAAACGGCAGCTTTGAAATTCATAAAAAGTCTCATTGCTGTGGCCCTGGCCCTGGGGGTTTGGAATTTTGGAAGGGTTTGGAGCCTTTGCGGGCTGGCAAACGGCAGCTTTGAAAGCCCATAGAAAGTCATTGCTGTGGCCCTGGCCCTGGGGTGCCTGTTGGGGAAGTGGCCTTGGCCCTGGCCCTGGGCCCTGGCCCTGGGGTGCCTGTTGGGGAAGTTGCCTTGGCCCTAGGGTGCATGTTGGGGAAGGTGTTTGGAACTTTGGAAGTTTGGATCCTTTGCAGCTTTGAAAGCGTCAAGAAAGTCATTGCTGTGGATCTGGGGTGCCTGCTGGGGACGGTGTTTGGAGGGTTTGGCGGGTTTAGGAGGGTTTGGAGCGTTTGGAGGGTTTGGAGGGTTTGGAGAGTTTTGGAGAGTTTTGGAGGGTTTGCGGGCTGGCAAACGGCAGCTTTGAAAGCCTAAGAAAGCCATTGCTGTGGCCTGGCCCTGGGGTGCCTGTTGGGGAAGTGGCCTTGGCCCTGGCCCTGGGGTGCCTGTTGAGGAAGTGGCCTTGCCCTGTTAAGGAAGGTGTTTGGAATTTTGGGGGGCTTGCAGCCTTTGCGGGCTGGCAAGCGGCAGCTTTGAAAGCCTCAAGAAAGTCATTGCTGTGGATCTGAGGTGCCTGCTGGGGACGGTGTTTGGAGGGTTTGGCGGGTTTTGGAGCGTTTGGAGAGTTTTGGAGGGTTTGCGGGCTGCCAAACGGCAGCTTTGAAAGCCCATAGAAAGCCATTGCTGTGGCCTGGCCCTGGGGTGCCTGTTGGGGAAGTGGCCTTGGCCCTGGCCCTGGGGTGCCTGTTGGGGAAGTGGCCTTGGCCCTGGGGTGCCTGTTGGGGAATGTGTTTGGAATTTTGTTTTGGAAAGTTTGGAGCCTTTGCGGGCTAGCAAACGGCAGCTTTGAAATTCATAAAAAGTCTCATTGCTGTGGCCCTGGCCCTGGGGGTTTGGAATTTTGGAAGGGTTTGGAGCCTTTGCGGGCTGGCAAACGGCAGCTTTGAAAGCCCATAGAAAGTCATTGCTGTGGCCCTGGTCCTGGGGTGCCTGTTGGGGAAGTTGCCTTGGCCCTAGGGTGCATGTTGGGGAAGGTGTTTGGAATTTTGGAAGTTTGGATCCTTTGCAGCTTTGATAGCGTCAAGAAAGTCATTGCTGTGGATCTGGGGTGCCTGCTGGGGACGGTGTTTGGAGGATTTGGCGGGTTTTGGAGGGTTTGGAGCGTTTGGAGAGTTTTGGAGGGTTTGCGGGCTGGCAAACGGCAGCTTTGAAAGCCCATAGAAAGCCATTGCTGTGGCCTGGCCTTGGGGTGCCTGTTGGGGAAGTGGCCTTGGCCCTGGCCCTGGGGTGCCTGTTGGGGATTGGCATTGCCCGTTTAAGGAAGGTGTTTGGATTGTTGGGGGGGTGCAATGCCTTTTGCGGGCTGGCAACCGGCAGCTGCTTTGAAAGCCTCAAGAAGTCATTTTGGCTGTGGATCTGAGGTTGCCTGCTGGTGACGTGTTTTTGAGGTTTGGCGGGTTTTTGGGGTGGGGGGGGGGGGTGGTGTGTTGTGTTTTTTGTTGTGTTTTGTCTCTTCTTTTCCGTTTTCTTTCTTATTCTCATATTGCTATCGGGTCGTGTGATTCTTTTGTTTTCTCTTTTCTCGGGCGATCTCTATCTTTTTTATGGTTTGCCGGCTGGCAAACGGCAGCTTTGAAAGCCCATAGAAAGTCATTGCCCTGGCCCTGGGATGCCTGTTGGGGAAGTTGCCTTGGCCCTAGGGTGCATGTTGGGGAAGGTGTTTGGAATTTTGAAAGTTTGGATCCTTTGCAGCTTTGAAAGCGTCAAGAAAGTCATTGCTGTGGATCTGGGGTGCCTGCTGGGGACGGTGTTTGGAGGGTTTGGCGGGTTTTGGAGGGTTTGGAGCGTTGGAGGGTTTGGCGGGTTTTGGAGGGTTTGCGGGCCTGCAAACGGCAGCTTTTGAAAAGGCCCATAGAAAGCCTTGCTGTGGCTGGCCCTGTGGTGCTGTGGGGAATGGCCTTGGCCCTGGGCCCTGGGTGCCTGTTGGGGGAAGTGGCCTGCCCTGTTTAAAGGAAGGTGTTGGAATTTTTGGGGTCGTTGCAGCCTTTGCTGGCTGGCAAAAACGGAGCTTTGAAAGCGTCAAGAAAGTCATTGCTGTGGATCTGGGTGCCTGTTGGGGACGGTGTTTGGAGGGTTTGGCGGGTTTTGGAGGGTTTGGAGCGTTTGGAGAGTTTTGGAGGGTTTGCGGGCTGGCAAACGGCAGCTTTGAAAGCCCATAAAAAGTCTCATTGCTGTGGCCCTGGCCCTGGGGGTTTGGAATTTTGTTTTGGAAAGTTTGGAGCCGTTGCGGGCTGGCAAATGGCAGCTTTGAAAGCCCATAAAACGTCTCATTGCTGTGGCCCTGGCCCTGGGGGTTTGGAATTTTGGAGGGGATTGGAGCCTGTGCGGGCTGGCAAACGGCAGCTTTGAAAGCCCATAGAAAGTCATTGCTGTGGCCCTGGCCCTGGGGTGCCTGTTGGGGAAGCTGTTTAAGGGTAAAGGTTTGGAGGGTTTGGAAGAGGACAAGGTCCAACCTGCGGTGGTCTGGGGACGGTGTTTGGAGGGTTTGGCGGGTTTTGGAGGGTTTGGAGCGTTTGGAGAGTTTTGGAGGGGTTGCGGGCTGGCAAACGGCAGCTTTGAAAGCCCATAGAAAGCCATTGCTGTGGCCTGGCCCTGGGGTGCCTGTTGGGGAAGTGGCCTTGGCCCTGGCCCTGGGGTGCCTGTTGGGGAAGTGGCCTTGGCCCTGGCCCTGGGCCCTGGCCCTGGGGTGCCTGTTGGGGAAGTTGCCTTGGCCCTAGGGTGCATGTTGGGGAAGGTGTTTGGAATTTTGGAAGTTTGGATCCTTTGCAGGCTGGCAAACTGCAGCTTTGAGGGGTTGCAGCCTTTGCGGGCTGGCAAACGGCAGCTTTGAAAGCATCAAGAAAGTCATTGCTGTGGATCTGAGGTGCCTGCTGGGGACGGTGTTTGGAGGGTTTGGCGGGTTTTGGAGGGGTTGGAGCGTTTGGAGCGTTTGGAGAGTTTTGGAGGGGTTGCGGGCTGGCAAACGGCAGCTTTGAAAGCCCATAGAAAGCCATTGCTGTGGCCTGGCCCTGGGGTGCCTGTTGGGGAAGTGGCCTTGGCCCTGGCCGTGGGGTGCCTGTTGGGGAAGTGGCCTTGGCCCTGGGGTGCCTGTTGGGAAGGTGTTTGGAATTTTGTTTTGGAAAGTTTGGAGCCTTTGCGGGCTAGCAAACGGCAGCTTTGAAATTCATAAAAAGTCTCATTGCTGTGGCCCTGGCCCTGGGGGTTTGGAATTCTGGAGGCGTTTGGAGCCTTTGCGGGCTGGCAAACGGCAGCTTTGAAAGCTCATAGAAAGTCATTGCTGTGGCCCTGGCCCTGGGGTGCCTGTTGGGGAAGCTGCTTAAGGGTAAAGGTTTGGAGGGTTTGGAAGAGGACAAGGTCCACACCTGCGGTGGTCCCAGGCGCCGCCCCGGCCTTGGCGAAGGCCGTGGTCGGCGGATATATATATATATATATTTGAGGTTGAGTGAATCAGTCAGTCTGAGCCGTATTTCGCAGACTGCATGGGGGTTGTATATAGTTTTTTTACTGTTCAGGGGATTGCGATTACTTGTGCATTAGGCCAGCCAGTCAATAGTTTTGAAAGTGAAGCATAGTTCCAGAGTATTAAGCGTTCAGTATCACTTTTCATTGGCGACGTCGCTTTTGATGCTTTTGGATGTCCTGGGGCTACATCAAATAAATAAATTGAATTATTCCGGCACTTCATCGTGTACTCAGTGCATGAATTGGATTGGTGCATTTGATGCAAAAGCGTTTGTTTCAGCTGATTTGAGATGTGTGTGTGTGTGTGACTGTGTATGGCTTCAGTCAGAGGCCAGCTGTAAAAATACCTTGCATCCATTAAGGTTAATCCATTGATATTCCTTTAGATAATCCATTGATAACTGATTGATGATGCAAAAATACCTTGCAACATGTCCCGACTTCAGAACACTTGCTCCTACTAGTAGCAACCACCGCTCCAGACCTGGTTGTGCTGGATTTCTTCATGTTGAGGTCTCCTATGTCAGATTTCACCAACCCCAAAAGGTCATCGATGATGAATCCCATGAAATCCCTGATGGCTCAGTCTCATTGCGGACCAAAATCCATGGATAAGCCGATAAGTCCTTCAAGCCATTGGATAATCCCATTACGTAATCCATTAGATAATCCATGAGATAATCCATTGATAATCCATTGGGTTGATAAGCCCAATATCATCGGAGCCATTGGGCACTTTTTTCAGCGTCGCAGGCACGCTGCTGGCGCTGCTCTTCGATTGGATCCCAAAACCTTGCGCCACTCCGTTGCTCCTCCGATGGTGGGAGCCTCACACGGAGACGCATCCATAGGGATGCAGAAAAAAACTAGCCATTTGTCCATGACTGTAGCATCCTTAGGGGATACTGGGTATACTATGGTATACTATGGTATACTATATCCTGGAGCATCCTTTTCCGACTTTTTGTCAATTCCGTGATGTTAGGATTTGAAAGGTCCAGGATATATGGTGATGAATTATACGGTATTACAATGTATCACATGGTGTCACAGTAGGGGATAGTAGAGATTTATCAAGCTCATCATAAGGATTCCCCGTGTGCCAAGATGGGACGGACGACCATATCACATGTACGCACCTGTTTTGCCCATGGCACATAGGTTCCAACATGTTCCAAAGTCGAACGGCCAAAGCTGGGCAGGTAAAATCATGTAAAATCGTTTGGTTTCCATGGCTGTCGTGTAAGAAAAATAGCAACCCATTGGCTCCCAGAAGTGTTATATAGATGGTAAAAACCTCGTCATGATCATGTCAGATCCCGACATTTACCGGAACCCCCATAGAAGTGCACCAAATAACACCCAATAACACCCAATAACCAATGATGGTTACCCTCTGGTAAACTAACATAGCTATTGAAAATGACCATTTATAGTGGCTTTTCCCATTAAAACTGGTGATTTTCAACATTGAGACCAAGATTTTAAGAGATCCGATGGCCCAAAACCAAGGTATGGTTCCTACTTTCCGCACATCATCACCGCCGCCGTGAGTCCTCCGCCCGAATGGAGCCCCGTGCCCCACGTGAGTTGCCACGGAAAACACGGACGATGGCACCTCTGTGGCTTGGTACCCATCGAAGTGGGACTTATGAGGTGTGGTGAAAAAAAAACAGGGGATTTCAGGAACGTGCCTTTTTCTTTTGGTGGGGAACTCGAGGATTTCAATGGATTTCAATGGATTTCAATGTTTTCAGCTTTGAAATGACCATGATTCCTATATGAATCCTATGTCCTGGGAATTTCCATATGTTGAATGTTGACCTATGCCATGTGTCCAGATGATGCTGCTTGATCTGATGCCTGTGCCACTGAGGTTTTGCCAAGGCTTGGTGCTCAGGATTTAATACCTCCACATAGTGGGATCATGTGGGACCGCAATATGAACAGATCCAGTACAAAATCGGGGTTTATAAACTGGGATTTGATATTGGAAGGGATTTTGGTTTCCTTGTGCAGGTTTTTTCTTTTCTTAACATGAGTCTATGAGTTGTTTTCATGAAATAAGCAAGGGCCTATCCTCTGTTCAAATCAGTTTGAGGGCCCTGGTAGGGTGAACGGTTGAGACTCGTCCCGCCATGTTGAGGTGCTACGCCGTCACAAAGGCAGGACGTTTTTCGTCAAATCCCAAAGCTGGTGGCTGTGACTAGGGCAGGTTGTAAATCAACAAAATAGGAGATGTCTGGGACAAACCCTACTTTTGAGGAATCAAGAGGGAAGTCAAACAAAAATTGAGAAGCCACCGTGGGTTACAGATGTTGGGTATCGAAAACTGCAGTCCCCTGAAAATGATGTATCCTCCAGTAATCAAACATGGTGTGCTGGAAAATTCCTCATTTAAAAATTTATAATCACTTATATATTAGATGGTTTCCCCATCAAAAACCTCCATTTAGTGCGGGAAGTTTACAGCCAGCCATGATGTTTGATTATTGTAAAGGGTCGTTTGATGATGAATGTGAATCAATGTAACCTAATCATCATTGGCTTCCCCACTCATGAGGGATCCAACCATGGCAAGCCCACTTCTATGCAAGTGCTATAAAGGCTTGTTTTGGGGAATTTGGTCCCTGCCACCAATATGTCGGTTTATATATATTATAGTGACGGACAATCACTTAGAACGTATTTTGGAAAAAAAAATCTGAATATTACTGCTTTTTTTACGTTCTAAGCCTTGCACTTAGAACGTCGAAAACCATACACTTAGAACGTCCAAATATCAAGATTCATCACTTAGAACGTACCGGGGATTTAACACTTAGAACGTGTCTAGGTCACTGATTTAACACTTAGAACGTCGAAAACCATACACTTAGAACGTGTCTATGTCACGTCATATGGTAATTGTTCATAATTATAGTGGCGGACAATCACTTAGCACGTTCTAAGTGTTGGTTTACGTTCTAAGTGATAAATGGGCCTAAGTGATATTTTGACGTTCTAAGTGATGAATTTTCCCTACGTTCTAAGTGATGAAATTTTGCTACGTTCTAAGTACGAAAAAAAAATGGAGAAAAAAAATACGTTCTAAGTGATTGTCCGTCACTATATATATATATATATATACATATGTTACATGTGTACTTGAATCACCATCTCACTGACTTACTTATCGCATGGTAAGTCCTTACAATAAACACTCTTTGGTGGGTGTTCACCCACTCGTTGGTTGCCCTTTTATCCTTTTGCCATCCATATGCAAACCATAGATTACTTACAGGTCATGGTCATGGTCATGGTCCAATGGTGGTCTAGATCACAGTCATCAATGGTCATCCGCAGTTCACGGTTTGGCCAGGCTTCTCAAACTACCTCTTCCTGCAGGCTGATGTCTTCATGCGACCCTCCAAGCTCTCAGGCGCCCACAGCAGGTCATCACCCAGAAGACTCTAGCAGAGTTGGGACGTTGGGATGTTGGGACAAGTGGAAAGCCTGGAAATTCTTGGGCAAAGATCCTTGAAACAACTATGGAAAATGGTTTGACGTTCTTTTAGCACCCCTATTTTCTGAATGTATTGGCATTCTCCAGAGACTTCCCCTGTTCGACAAGTGCCAGGCTATCCGTTGGAGCGGCCATGGATGTTGGGCGTGGGCGGGTATACCCCGAGGACACATGGGCAGCTGGACTGCTTCGCCACCGGATTTCCGGTCAGAACATGTCAGGAGTAGCATCGATACCAGTGGAATCGCTAGACCACAAGGTGCGAACAGACACAGTATATATTTGTGAAAATTGTTTGTGATATATATATATATTCCTCATGTGTCAATTTTGATCAACTCGCGTGCAAGAGTGCCTGCTCTCATGATATTCTGAGCCCAACCATGCCCCAGCCTCCCACCTTTCCAACGCTAGCAGGAGCTTTGGGGACAATTTCGTGGATGAAACATGGAAAGGCCAAGTGAAAAGCAAAGACAAGGCTCGCGGTCAGATACCCCAGAGTAAAGTAACACAGATGTAGAAAACTCACCATTTGTGACATTTGTACATCATTTTCCCAGGCGAACCATGGGTTTTCTACTTCTATATTCATGTTAGTTCACCCTAGGGTATTTTGGTAGCCAGGGACCAGGGATGTGAAGCAGTGCAGTGCGAATCTACCTTTCACGACTTTGCTGCTTCCAGTGCGTTTCAAGGGCCATGCGCAGCCCCCACAGGTTTTCCCCAGCCCTGCAGGCATTGATAAGAAAGTGGTGGCAGCCAGGCTTAAAGAAGTGACAAGCTCAGTGGGCTATGGAAAGGCTTCCCACAGGTTTTGAGAGATTTTAAGAGTCCAAGATTGACCTTGAAGCACGTTTCAGAATACACTATTTGAGCACATGCCACAAAATCAAGGTGACCTCTTCTACGGCCAAGACAGCACCTACCTCTGGTGGGACTCTATTGGCGCCTGCCACTCCGTTCAGCAAGCCGAAGGGGGGGAGCAAGGCGACCCACTCATGCCTGCCTTGTTTGCGCTTGCCCAACACCCAGCGCTGCAAGAGACCGCGGCCACGATGCGGTCCGGGGAAGCGCTCTTTGCTTTCCTTGATGACATCTATGTCATTTCGTCGCCTGACCGCACCCACGCGCTCTATTCCACCTTGCGCGTTTCCCTCCGAGGCCACGCGTGCATCGAACTCAACCAAGGTAAGACCCGCATCTGGAATGCGGCTGGGGAAGAGCCGCGCCACCTCCCAGAGCTGCAGCCGGCTGACAGCAACGACCGGGTTTGGGTCGGCGACTGGACTCTGCCCCTTCGGCGCAAGGCCTCCAGGTCCTGGGCACCCCCATTGGGAGCGCGCAATACGTGCAACATGCTCTTACCGAGGTCCGCACCAAACAAGACCTCCTTCTCCACCGCATCCCATGGGTAGAGAACCTGCAGGCCGCCTGGCTGTTGCTCCTTTTCTGCGCAGCCCCCCGGAGCAACTATCTCCTCCGCGTCCTCCCACCGGCGGACACTACAGACTTTGCAGCCGCCCACGAAGCCGCGGTGGCACATTGCGTCAGCACCCTGGTGGCGGCAGGCGCGGCCCTTACGGACCTACAGCTACGCCGGGCCCAACTCCCATTGCGCTTGGGGGGGTGCGGCCTGCGCTCGGCCCACCGTTCGCGCCTCGCCGCGTATTGAGCCTCATGGGCCGACACCTTGCCCATCCTCCACTCGCGCCTTCCTCTTGTGGCGGACCGCCTTCTCCAGCTCCTCAACGGCGAGGCCCGCCCACAACCACCCAGCATCCTCGCCGCCTCCCAGGCAGCCCAGCTCCTCCGGAACAGCGGGGCGACTGTCCCACCCTGGGAATCTATCATCGGCGGCCGCCATTTCTCGCACGAAGACCGGACCCCGGGCGATTTCCTGCGGGGGTGGCAACGCGACATCAGTGCAGCCCAGGACTTGGACGAGCTCGCCGCGCTCCTATCTGACCTTTCCCCTCCGGAGCACGCGCTTCTCCTCTCCCAGGCTGGCCCACACAGCGGCCGCGCAGTCACCACCCTTCCTACCAGCCCGGAATTCCAGCTCGGCAACCCGCATTTCCGCACCTTGCTGCAACGGCGGCTCCGAGCCCCCTTGAGCTGCGGTCCTTCCCGATGTCGGTGTGGCTTGACACTCGACCCTCACGGCGACCACCGTGCCGCATGCGCCACCACTGGCGTCCTCCGGGCACGAGCTGCGCCCATCGAACGCGCGGTCGCCCGCATCTGCCGCGAGGCCGGTGCCCGCGTCGCGGTCAACGTGCCGCTCTCGTGCATGAACCTCGCGGTCCCGGTCACCGACGCACGCCAGATTGAAGTCCTCGCAAACGACTTGCCGCTCTGGCACGGGGCTCAGCTGGCAGTCGACGTGACCCTCGTCAGCCCCCTTGGCCGCACCGGACAGGTGCGCCACGCTTCCCACGCGAACCCGGGCGCGGCGATCCTGGCAGCCTCCCAGCGCAAGCGGGAACACACCTACCCCGAGTTTTCCGGCTCGCGCCGCTGCCACCTAATCATCTTGGGTCTCGAAGTAGGAGGTCGTTGGGGCGAGGAAGCCGCCGACTTCCTCCGAGCCTTGGCGCACGCCCGCGCCCGCACTGCGCCAGCACTCCTCCGCTCGGCGGCAGTTCAGGCCTACGTGCACCGTTGGGCCGGCCTCCTATCCGTCGCGGCGCAGCGCGCCCTGGCCGAGACTCTCCTCGAACTCCCGGCCGCGGCCGCGCCCGGCGTCGATGGGGAGCCCCCGCCGTTCGCCGCGACCCTGGCTGACGTCCGGTGGCATGAACGCCCACCGGATAGTCGCCTCCCGCGGTGACCGGTGTGGCTGTACATAGCCTTCCCCAATGGCAAAGTCCATTGGCGCGTGAGACGCAGAGTGGGTCATGCAGCAGGAGTGTTAGTGAGTAAAAGAAAAAAAAAAGGTGACATATGGATATTGGAACCATTTGGAACCCCAAAATCAGGAGGAATGATCAAGTTTTCCATAAGTTTAACATCTGTTGATCTAAACTAGACTAGCCATGACTAGCCATGAATCGCGGATTTAATCCCTGAAGTCATGGACACCCCGAGGCTCTATGAGGCCGCAGCTGGTGGCCCCAAGATGCCTCATGCCTCGGTTTCAGGGGTGGCCAATGTGCCTGCCATCATGAGCAGATACTTTGCAGGGGCCTCAAAACCTTGCCAGCGCAAAAAAGAGTTTCCTAGGACATCATGGCATATCATGGCTGGAGATGCCGCGGAACTCATCAATTTCTGGTACGATTTGTACGGAAATCACGCCATGTTCTCTTTTGGGTGAATTGGATTCGATTTGGGGATTTTCCAGCCGTTTTTGGACTTGCAGAGGGTAACCGGTGAAGAATCTATGTGCGGCTGCTTCGGCCAGAACTTGCCAAAACAGCTCAAGAGCTAAAAAAGTGAGCAGTGCAATGGACCAAATTTGCCCCGTTCCCAGTGTTGGTTTAAACATGTGGTCGTTCCATTGTTGTGGGACAATGGCGCTCGGAGATTACTGTAACTTAATATGACATGAGACTATGCGATGATGTAGCGTATTAGCGTTTATAAGTTTCATATTGATCCACCATCAATGCATCCATGTCATTGGATACAATTGGGACTATTTCCGATTTCCGATTATTCATGATCATCCCATCATGTCATATATATATATATGTACATAACTGCAAAAAATGTATGATTCTGATATATATATATAACTGCAAAAAATGTATGATTCTGATATATATATATTAATATGATTTAATATGATTCCATGCCATATGGATACCTAATACAATGTTGTCCATGCTTCCTTTACCGCAGCGGTGCGGTGAGGTCACACTGGCCGAATCGATGGGCGACCTTAGAGGTTCAGCGTTTTTTCATGGTGGGATTTAGCTGTCAAGGATAGGGATTGAATGGGATAGTAATGGGATATAGGAGATTTAATGGCATGTATCGGAGGTTTAATGGGATATATTGGAGGTTTAATGGAGAAATAATGGAGATATCATGGGATATGTAGGATCATAATCCGAAAAAAAAATTGAAGGTGGCAATGGCGCAGGGAAAGTTAATATTTGGTAGTGTTGGATGGCTGTGCCAAGTGTTCTGTGTTTTTTTGGGTTGACTCTGAATCCAAAACATCTTTGCGCATAGCAGGCTGAAGAAGTCTTGGTATATAGTGGTGATTGCCGCTGACTCTCATATGTGCACATGATGAAAGGGGTTGCCTTTTTTGGGCATGATGTTTGCATGACTCTTTTCGGAATGGCCTAACTTTGGGCTAAATCTGCTGATGATTCCTGCTTGGGCCGTGGGAATCACCACAGCCCCCTGCGTTTGCTTTCCTTCAGGTGAACTGGCCCAATCGCTGATCTTTGATTTGTGGCGCGGTCGAAAGTGTATATATGCGGGATACGTCAAAACATATATAGTTGGTGCAAAGAATGTATTTGCCAAATTTTGCCAACATTTGCCAACTATTCTCTAATGTTCACCTGGTAACAGGAGTTGGACCCATTGTCACATTTGGAATTTCTGATTGGATACTGCTAGATTCAGGTGCAAATAGGTCTGGAAGCCAGAGCCAACACAGTGCTTTGTGTACACCGCGAGCTTATTGGTTAGGGACCTGAAGTTTTGAAATGGCAAGGTTTGTTGGTTAGGGTCAGGCAGTGACGACGTTGTTTATCATCGCTCAGGGAATTTCATTGGAGAATGACTCAAAGAGGAACGCCCAAAAATTGAGAGAGATTCCAAAATGTGTTTGGGCTGAAATTGTGAACATTCGTTTTGACATACTTTGAATATAGAATCCTTTGTTTATCAAGTTGCCATAAACCCAGCATTCCCAACTTTGATCCAAATCCAGCCATAGAATTTCTTGTTCCCATTGCTTCACCGGATCGGATACTGCTTCACTTCGCAGCCATTTGATAATGATCCTCACTCAGAACGCAGGATATTTGATGATATTGTCCCAATTCGGGCGATATCAACAATATATAAATATCAACTTCTATATAATGCAATATAATAAGTTTAATATAATATAAAATAAAATAATATAATATATCATATTACATCATATATAATATGAAAAATATAATATAAACTAATATAAAATAATATAATATAATATAGTTTAATAAAATATATTATAATATAATATAATGTAATATAGTTTAATATAATATTTAAAAAAATAATATAAAATATGATATCAAATAATACAATATAATATAGTTTAATATAATGTATTTTAATAAAATATAATATATAATATATACATACATGAATTGAAGTCATGCCCCGGAAAGAAAAACACCGTTCATGTTGCTATCATCCAAGGTGGGATTCGATCCCCGGCTCTCGTCCCACGTGGCTGATCGGTGACAACGAGACACTCTGGACGAGTGGGCCACCGAAGGCGCAACGCATGCAGCGTGGTTTGAAGATGGGTGGAAAACGATGAAGAACTGGCCCCTCCTAGGTCAATCTTGGATGGGTAGTTTAGTTCTTTAGTCTTTTGGTATCAATGCAATTAAGTATCTACCAATCAGCTAAGAATTTATTTGTTTCGCATGTATGTATCTAAGAGCATGGTATCTAAGATTGCCCATATTTTGATGAACTCATCCTGAAATGTAATAATAAAATGGTAGTTTAAAGATGTTTATAGCAATGATATAACAAATCACCCATATTTTGATGGTTTATAAGTGTTTATACCACCCATGTATGGTGATTTTGGGGGTGGCTTACTAGTGCTTAAAAAAAAAAGGTACAGCCAGTGCTTGGACATTCACTGGTCAACTAAGGGGCAGAGATGAATGACTGGAGAGAAAACACACATGGAATCTTGAGATGAAGGCATTGAGGAAAATCATCTTCCAACGACGATTGGGGGGTAGTTGGTGGTTTCAAAGATGTTGTTTCTTCTCGGACTTGGGAGAGTGATTTAGGACCACCAGTATCGGGTGGGTTGAGGCCATCAACATCCATTCACCCGTTTCAACGATAGCCGTTTTCTCGCAAACTCCAAATGTTTTATATACCCTTCGGTAAACTAACATAGCTATTGAACATGCCCCATTTATAGTTGATTTACCTATTAAAGTGGTGATTTTCCATAGTTATGTTAGTTTACCAGAAGGTACCTGGTGCATGTTATAGCAAATTTCCACCGGTCGCGGTACCGAGGTATGAAGATCAGAGCGTTGCCTTCACCCATCCCCTTTGGTTGTCAGTGCCTAGCTTGAAACATGTGGAAACCACCAGCAGTTGCAGGACATGACTTCAATCATTTGCAAAAATCAGACCAAGAGTTCAGGTATGCAGCACGTTTGTTGAAAGAACATGTTTGTTTCCCAGCAAGAAACAATATGTGTATATATATATTACGTATATGTGTGTGTTCAAATGCATATGATATAGCAATTTGAAGAAGTGTGCTTGATGCATGCTATATATATATATATATATACGTTGATGATTGGATTAGCCATGAAGTTCGTGAATGGAAATCCACAGACAACTGGGATATGACAGGATAGCTACTCACCCCTCAAGTGAGCTTCCTGGATCAATTCGTGGGTGAATTTCTGGCCACACAACTGTCCCATTTTTGAATGAGAGTGGATAGACATGAGTTTTTCGGGCTTTTAGCTGAATTGGATTGGCCACTTTGTATCCCTTTTTGGGGTCACTTTATATTAATAAAACCAGATTGGAACATGCCAGAAAGGTTTTGGCTGGCAAGTTTGGGGCACAAAAGGGTCATCAAAAGTCCATGTAAGGAAGCGTGGCTAAAACCCTGGCTCTCAACAAGTGAAGGTGTTTCTCCTACTGCGACTGCAAGGCTGCGCATGGCTTTCGCATATTACAAGGTTGAACTATTAAATTAGTTTCTAACTTAACCTTTGTCAAGTTTGGGCAAGGATTGGCAGCATGTTCCATGTATTGTGTTTGTTTGGCTTTGCGAGCTGAAGTCCTTTGCACTCACACACACATAACCATACATATCACATTTATTTATTTATAAATTTAAATGCATATATATATATATATGCATACATATTTTGCAGCTCTTAGTGGGAGAAGGATTGTTGGTTCCCATGTTTTCTTGGACCCAAGAGTTCTCCCTCCCACAGTGCCCAACATCTGCTGAGGGCCTCAGAGAGCAGCAGATGTTGGACGAATACCTGTCGAAGTACCTTGGAGATTACAGCGACTTACCCTGGATTTACTACCCATGGATCCATCACCGGGGATTAACCATTGGAAAAGTGATGGCAAACCATTGGATTGAAGATTATAGCCTATTCTCAGACCTCATGGGTGAAGGATTATAGAATCATAGATGTGAAAACTCCCCAGGTTCAATGGGAAATCCAATGGGTCAGAATCCGCTTCGAATGGATTCAAATGGTAGTTTCATGTAATTTCAGGTAGGGCGATCATCTAGCACTATATATTTCTACCATTTGAAAGGTAGAGGACAAGCTGCTTGGTGATATGTGCAATGAATGATTCCTATATTCAAACATGTGCAAACATGTTCTTCAAGCTTGAGTATCGTTGCAGAAAGGAGGAGCAACATTTATTAGGGACCAGGGACGGGGTTTTATTTATTTACTCATCATATCCTAATCAATGGCAGTGGCGACATGCGATGTTTCAGCCCAATGATTGTCATTTATTGTCCCACATTATGGGTGATCACTTTTGACCCATAGTGTGCCGCATTTCCAACTGTGTTTGTTGATCACCAGGCATCTAGTCCTGGCTGAGGCATCCCGAGGACTTTTGACTTGTGAAAAGGCTGCTGAGAAAAATATCCTGCCGTGCGCAGCACAAAAAGGAGGAGATTCAAGCTCATGACCAACTGGCCAGATCACAATAATCTGATTGTGTTAGATTCGTTGCGCGGTCATGAGCCCGTAGGAGTCCCACGGAAAATGGGAATGGGTTAGTCAGACATCGAAATAGCTGGTAAGTGTATCTTCATTGCGTTTTGTTTTCACCCGTGGCCAAATCGAATTCTCTATTGTCGCATTCCAAAATATTGATGGTTTTCTGAGTCCAATTACCCATGGGCCAGCCATGCATGGGTTGAAACCACCAACTGAAAAATGGAAAGATAAAATAGGTACACAGCGCGCATGCGTTTGCATTGAGTCCCACAAATGGATTCGCTGATTTCACATTCAGGGTATCAACAAGACCTTCTACAAAGGAGAGATCCATCCAACTCTTCCTTTCTAATCCCAAATGCTACCTGTGCTACCCTTGGGATATTTAGTCTGACAATAGACAATTTGCCCCTTGCATTCGTGATTTGTGTTACCGAAACAGAGAATGCCGGGCGCGTTGCCTTGCAGGTGAAGCTGCAATTGGTGCGCATCCCCCCAAAGCTTCAGATGGATGTGGATTTGTTTAAAGATGAGGTGTGCAAATACCATCAGTTACCATAGATCACAACGTGATATTTTGATTTTTGGTTCAAATTGCAATTTTAAATGATTTTGGAATATATCATGGTATATCAATATACCCCGTGTTGGACTTTTTCATGTCAAGTCCTGGCGGCACTTTGTAACTAGCATACGTAGCTAGGTTGTTTCCCCACTTCGATTGCCTACAAGGTACCCCAAAGGTTGTTTGGACATTGTTCTGGGTAACAATATATATATATACATACATATAGCTATACATATATATACATAGTTACACACACACGCATATATATATGAACCAATATCTTGTGAGGCGAATCCGGAAGGTTTAGCTTTACATCGTACAACTTGTGGTCGTTAATGTTTGCTGAGGAAGAGACTGGTCTGGATAGCTTTGCCGTCCATTTGTTTGGTTGAAGTCAAAAAGGATAGAACCGAACCTCTTTCATATCCATCGGTTGATCGCCATGGGGTGGGCCTTTTTATGAGAGGTCACAAATCTGAGTGCTCGCCTGTTTGCAAGCACAGATCTCCTGCCAGCCAGGCCCGTAATCAAAATCGGAAAGCTGGATGGATGAGCAGATGCGCAGACAGACATGCCAAGATACCAACTGATAAGATTTGGTTGATCGATCGTTTGGTGAAGGCATGCCGGAATACCACAGGCCCGTTTCACAAGTTTCTTTGTGCACTTGAAATTTTTTCGGCACGGACCCATGGAAGACAACGTGACATTTTCCCACTGGGCAACATAACGTTGGATGAGCTTGATTTTCCGGAGTTGGCCAAATGGCGAAGAAGCATTTTTTTAGGCTATGTCAATTTGGTGATTGTTGCACTCAACTTTTTGTACGGCACGTCGGTGAAAGGTTTTTTGCCAAGAAAGCCTTCTGCAGCCCAGCGAGACGTGCAGAGGAGGATCATGAACCAGTGCAAAGATTTTTATCATCGCTTGAGTGTTTCGACCAACCTCCCTTGGGAGCACTTGGTGCCCACCTGGGTTCCAGGTGCCCCGCAGCAGCCAGCAGGTCGCACAGGTCTGCAAGCAGATTGCGTCGACTGTTTGGACCGGGCTGGGCTTTGCGACCCTCAATGTGTTCTACCTGCAGACGTGCAAACCGTGCTGTCGGATCCCGCAACTCTGTTTGCAGATGCGCCCCCGGGCCTTGAGCATTTTGGCGACGTGGACCCCAAGGACCGGGTTGAATACATCAAGCTCATCGTTAAACAGCTCAAGTGTGGTCAGCTTGGTTTGGCTTCCAGTGTGCATGGCAGAGGCCCAGTTTTCCCGGTTGGCAAGCCTGGATCGCAGAAAGTTCGGGCAGTTTGGCATGGGAAAAGGGTGTCAGAGGCTGCGCTTCCACCACCTGTTCCAAGACACTTGGCTTCGCCCACTGCTTTGTTGCACTTGGAAGCTTCTTCGGCCAAGCCAATCCGGGTCAGCAAGAGGGACGCGAGATGTTGGTTCGATCAACTGCTGCTTCCCGCGCCGCTGCGAAAATATATGGGCCGACCTGCCGTCTCCGTCGCTGAGCTCATGGACATTGGTGGGTTGGCGTCCGAGGAGGTGGCCGGTTTTTTGGAGCACGAGTCGGAGATGGGGGCAACCAAGTTTTTTCCTGTGTCCAGAGTTTGGCCCATGGGATTCAGCTGGTCCTCCTATGTGGCTCAGGAAAAATTGCTCTCATTCTTTGATACCGCAGGTCTTGATCCAGGACAAGTTTTAGCGTGCGATGTGCCAACCCCTGAGAGTTTCGACGTTGCTTTTGCGGCTGCCACTGACGATGCTATGTTTTTCAGCAACGCAGGCGTCGGGCATACACAGTTTTGGGCAAACAAGTTTGACGTGGCTATGGCGTCAGCGCATGCGTTGAAACACCCTGGCAAAGACGTTAATGACGAATTGAATGCAACTTGTGTTGGCGTTTGCTTGGAAAATGGAGTTCGGCTGGCTGTTCCTCCACAGCGCTGTTTGGCCATCATTTTGTCAGTGCTGGCGTTGGCCGCGCGCGGCTTCTCTACGCCCAAGGACGTTCATGCTGTGTTGAGCACAATGCAGTGGTTTGATTTGCTTCAACGAGGCAAGCTGTCAGTTTATGACAAGGTTTACGCTTTTGTGGGAAGGCGCGTGGACACAGAGATTAGACACCTACCGGCCGTGGTCTTGGAAGAACTTCTGCTTGGTGCCCTTTTAGGGGTTTTCTGGACAGCTGATTTGACGCGTGAATTCTTGCCAAAGTTGTTTGCGTCTGATGCTTCAGTCGAGTTTGGCTTTGGAGCTTCATATGTGAACATGGCCAGCGAAGAGGTGCGCAAAGTGGCTCGTTTGGCGGAAAAGCAGGGGGACTATGTGGTTCTAGATGGCGCGCCCATGTCCAAGCACAAGTCGCGCCTTGGCCAGGGACATCAGCTAAACTTGTCCAAGAGCTCTTTTGTGCACATTCTTTCGGTGAAAAGACGCAGAGCTGGACACATCAACCTGTTGGAGGGTGAAGCGTTTTTACTGTTGCTCCGCTGGATCCTACGGTCACGGCAAAGGCATAGTTCTCGAGTTGTGGTGCTGGTTGACTCATCAGTGTGGCTTGGAGCTGCAGCTAAGGGACGGTCATCAACAGCCTTGAACAGACTCTTGCGTAAAGCTGCAGCATTGGAAATGGCAGGTGATCTCATGGTACATGTTGTGTTGGTGCCATCGTCAGAAAACCCAAGTGACGCCCCGTCGCGGGGAGCGCGCTGGAAACCAAAGCGCGTCAAGGTGCACAAAGTGTTCAGGCTTGCTTGCGAAATGCGCAAAAGATATTCAGCAGCTTTGCGCATCTTGGGTTTCGAGGGTGACAGCGATTTTTCCACCGACAGTTCATCGGAGATGTCAGACGTGTTCAGCTTTCAGCCTGACAGTGGATGTTAATTAGTTTGCTGCTACGCATGGCATGGGCCAATACCGTTCTTTCACTAGAGCTGGATGCATCGTTGGTCTTTTTCTGACATGTGTTTGGGGTAGTTTATTTTTGAATTCGTTTGGTGAGGACGTTTTTCTTCCGATTCTGAGCACGCTTAGTGCTGGCAGAACACGGGTGCCTTCCAGTCGAGACGAAGCATTCTGGCTGGGAGAAGTCAAGGTGGGGCATGTTGCCAGACTGCAGTACATGTTCCTTTTGTGCCTTGATCTGGAGTCACAGTGACAGCAGTGACTCCATGAATTCGGGCGGCTGCAACCGCCAGCGGCTGCAGCCAGGGCTGAGTTGGTGGGCTTTGAGATGTGCGGTCACTGAAACCTTTCTGGGACTTTGTGGCTTGTGCTTACTTACGACGCATTTTATTCCATTTTGCTTTCAGATGACTTTGGCCGTGCATGCCTGCAAGACTCTACCTCTGGCGTCCTTCACTGCGGCGGCAAAAATGTGCTACAAGAAACCGAGGGTCTCCTGACACTGACGCATACAGCGCAACAAGATGAACCAATATCTTGTGAGGCGAATCCGGAAGGTTTAGCTTTACATCGTACAACTTGTGGTCGTTAATGTTTGCTGAGGAAGAGACTGGTCTGGATAGCTTTGCCGTCCATTTGTTTGGTTGAAGTCAAAAAGGATAGAACCGAACCTCTTTCATATCCATCGGTTGCCCACCCGGCACCTGTGGTACCCCCACCCAATTTGCGGGGGCTTTGAGATGTGCGGTCACTGAAACCTTTCTGGGACTTTGTGGCTTGTGCTTACTTACGACGCATTTTATTCCATTTTGCTTTCAGATGACTTTGGCCGTGCATGCCTGCAAGACTCTACCTCTGGCGTCCTTCACTGCGGCGGCAAAAATGTGCTACAAGAAACCGAGGGTCTCCTGACACTGACGCATACAGCGCAACAAGATATATATATATATATAAAGATTGTTTGTGAAGGCCGGAATGCGTGTTCTGAGCAAGCCTGTGTGTGATTGTCATGAGTTGACGATCATCAGTAGCCATAGCCAGTGTTGCCTGTGATTTTCTCAGCTTAACTCTTGCATGTCAGACCATGTCAGGCCTTCTGGAGAAGAATGCGGCTACCAATTCAACGAATTTCATTTGACGGTTTGCTTTGAACTGGGAGTAAAAGCTACTGGTTTCAGAAACGTCGTGGTTTTTCCGGTGCCAATGTGCACCGAGCATACTACACCAGGGTAGGGATCTCTACTCTAAAATGTGGAAGCTTAAGATAAGAAGCTTATTATGCGGAAACCATTTTACCATTTGGAAGATGGATATGTTCTGATCACCTGGGCCTGGTTCACCATGGAACTCATTGCTGGCCCCGCCACCCCGCCATTGGCTCAGACATCAAACAACAGTTCCCCGTGTTTTTTGGGCATCAGCCCATCAGCCGCCAAGCCACTCGACCGCATTAATGGGCCGTAGTGGTAAAGATTTGAATGTCGCTGATGCCGAGGTTCTGCAAACCAGCGGGCGAAGAGGGGACGCCTGAAGCCCAGTTTAGACAGCCCAAAGGTGTGATAGCTGTGCTCCATGTAGCAGTGACTACCTCTATGATCAATCCTACATCTGGGAACAAGATGGGATATGATGGGATATGTTATTTCTTTTTCACCGAGAGCTCAAGAAATTAGGCCTTAAACCTCCAAGGCTCTACTCAAAGGATTACCCGAATCCCGAGGTTAATTCACTTGACCAGTAGTTCAAGCACGTTTGCTGGAATTTCTGGCTGGAAGCCCCAGTAGCACTCCAGATCGCCGTCATTGTAGCTGGTCATGGTGCTGGCGGGTTTTGGTGTGTTTTCCCGAATTCTACACGACATACCGCACTCCATGTTTGATACGACATGCTCCTTGAACCATGTCTACAACCAAATCAGACCTACAGTCATGGGTATTACTATATTTCTTGCACGGGCCTTTCCTAAATTGTTCTCCTCATTGTTTTTGGATGCGTTGTATAACTTAGTATTCTAAAAACTTCTGGTTGGAATTGGTTCGTGGTGTTCTACTCCGTTACGTTGCGACGTTGCATTGGCATGCTCAGCTGTTGCAGGTGTAGTCGACTGCCGGGATGTTGCCGAGAGGCGCTTGGTTCAGGGATCTACCATGAACCAAGAGTGGCCCTTACTTCCAAACCAATACACCGGACAAAAACGGTAGCAACGGTGTGGGCCATGATGTATTACTATATAATATTACAAAAAGCTGGGTGATTGTTTTGAAGAATGTCGAGGATCCTGCCAGAAGGGTGAGGTGGTTTCATCCTTTCCAGATGCAACACTTCACTAGATTCCCTTTGCCAGACTCTGCTATGCCGAAGTATACCCCACTGGCAATCAAACAAGCCAAATTCATCTAAATTCCCCATTTGCAGATGATTTTCCCGTGTTCATGCCCGTATAAAGAGGCTTTCCCAGCCATGTTTAGAGACACCAGCTTTAACCGGAACCGGAGACCGTGCCCAGCTTCAGCGCTCAGGCGTCCCCAGAATGCTGCTCTTTTTGCTCTTGGAGGTGGGTTCATGAGCCTTCAATTTTTGCCGCGCGACTGCAATTTGTGGAGGAGGAACATGGATGCAACTTTCTCACTTGACCCTTCAACAGTAGCGGTTTTCTGTTATTCTAAGATGGCTGGCGTTTCGAATCTCGGGCCGCGCAGGGAATTCGATTCGCTTTGGCTGGTGAAGCTACAGTTTCCTGGCGTCAGGGTGGACCAGAGGAAGACTTGAGGCATGGTGAATTTGAAGGGGAAACTGACAGTGACAAGACAAGATCCAACAAACAAACCCCAGTTCGCTGTTCAAGTTTGGGTATACGGTATACACCTCCCTACATAAGTCACAGTTGATGAACATCTATTATAATGATATGTTGCCTTGCCGTTTGATAATTGGAATGGTTTATTATATTGTGAATCACACATTAATTAAATGGAATTTCAATCTATGTGGAAGAGTGCGCTAGCAGTTAGTGAAAAGCCATCAGCCTTTGCAACTAGATCAAATCCTCCAAGAGGCAAGCAATTTCTGAGCTTAGGCAACAGCAGGATTCGCTTTATCAGTGGTAGTGCCGCAAGCAAATCAGTCATTGTATGTCCCCAAAATGAGTGAACCGTTCTTCCAGAAAAGTATACAAATACAGAATATATTATAATAGAGATATTCAAAATACTATATATGTTTACATGTTTACCTATGTTTACCTCATAATTCCCAGGTTTCCAGCTTTTCTATCCATTTTGGGGTTGCCGGGTTGCCATTTCTATGAACATTATTTGGGATCCCTGGAGAAGCGCGCTTGACTTCCACTGTCCAGGACTGATTTGTTCGGGTCCAACTGGCACAGATTTTGCGCTTTATGGAGGTTGGAAGACTATATCATATATACAATACAATACTTTTCTTTTTGGATAGGTTATTATTGTATATAATATAATATTATATTATATTTATTGTTTATAGTATAGATTTATAGTATATGGGTCTATGTTAATTGAGGCGTTGCTGTTTATTATACACTTTTGGGGTAGATCTAGCGTGATACAGCTATTAAGCGAGGGGTTGCTATTTATTCCAAACTTGATGGTTCATCAACATTGTCCTGTCAATTTACCCTTTAAAGCCCGTGAGTTTATGGTGTAGTCGTTCCTATTGTTTACTATTATTGCAACCCTGAAGTGCAGTAAATTCCCACTAAAAAGATAAAAACAGGAAAGTCTCCCTTTAAATAGAAAAAAGTAACCAAAAAAGATGGGGTTCTATATGTTTGGTTAATTTTTTCAGATCCCCATCTTTAGTGATTTAGTTGGTTAAAAAGATGGTGAACCAATATATTAAGATGTGTGAATTTTGACCACCGGGAGCTCTGTCGAGAGCTCGGTCGAGCTCAGGTGTCTTCCAGCACCGCAACCTCGGTCTATCAGATCCGACCAGGTTGGAAGAAATGAGTCCGTCCAAAAAGACAGTTCTCAATATCACTTGACTATGATCGACTATTATATACATATGATATAGAGTCTGATATTTATATATATATACTATATACTATACACTATATATATATATATTCCAGGCATGTATCAATGACATGCACAATATATACATATATACATATATACATATGAATTGATTCAACACCAGCTTGACTATGATCAACTATAGTATAAATTAGTAAGATGAGTTGATCCTGGTATCCCGTGGATCCCTTGGATCCCTTGGATCCCTTGGGCCTTCTGAAATGGTAAACGTTTACAGTTTGCTATTGAAAATTGCCCATTTATAGATATTTATAGTTGATTTACCCATTAAAGATGGTGATTTAATGATATTTATAGTTGATTTACCCATGAAAAAAAAAGATGGTGATTTTAACCATAGTTATGTAAACGTTTACCAGAGGCTAATTATCGCTATGTGCAATTGTGCCTGTAATTATGGGCTATTTCCTATTCGGTCGCATTCCTGCCAGCGTCCCAAAAATCACCAGGGCAGCTCCTAATATGGTTGATCATCGTTGTCCTATTATTGGGCCATAAATTGGGCCTCCTCGTCTCCTCCACATTTTTTCCAAAGAAAACATGAAAACATCCGCATGCTTTGCCTGCATGATGATCATGATGATCACTTTTGTGACGAAACGCGTTTGCGTTTCAGGTTGGGAATTCAGTGTCGAAGTGCAAGGAACGAATTTCGATGTCATCAACGCTGCTTGGTTTGAACCACAGCGGCTCAACATTTTCAGGCCCTGTTGCATACCCTGGGGCCCTGGAAGCGCAGGCAATCCACAGCCCCGATTCATACAGTAGCCATGAGCATCCCATGATCCATGCATCTCTAAGGGATATGCTCCATAGCCTTGATCCACAATTCCCCTTGATCCATGGCCTTGATGCCACTTTTCTGCCATTGGGCCATTGGGAACGAGGTTAACCATGGATCCATATGAATCCCATGCTCCGAATCATTCTCGACGTGTCTGAAAATGGGCCGATATCAAATGATGTTTAAACATCGCCATCACTGTGCAATTCTTACATTATCTAAGTGTTTCTGGAAAAGTAAATTCTGATTCAAACATTTAGTGACAAATGAACCGTCTTTCAAGAACGTTTTTAAAGGGCTACTATAGTAGTATTTAATAGTATATTTCTGGGTAAATTATAACGACCTCACTGTTCTCCCTCACTGGAAATCATGGTTAGTAAGGGAAATGATCCCCAAATGGCCCAACAATTCAGGTTAGTGAAATATGATCAAATTTACCCAGAATATCCCCCCCCTTTAACCCTGGAATATTTGGGGGGGTAAGGCAAGAAATTTCTGAGAAATATTTCACCTGACCACGTGAAATATACCCCCCCCCCACGTATTTTTTTGGGCTTCTAAAAGACGTGGGGGGGGGGTTCCTCCGGACGCTGTTCCTTTTTGGACCTTTTTAGTCCTCACGCGGGTAGGGCCCATGCGCAAACACTGACAACTAGGTAAATGGTAATTGCCGGTTTCCAAGAAAGTAAATAAGAGAGTGAACTTGCCAAACAGCCTTCAGAACATGACGTTCAGCCTTGAATTCAACCACGCCCAAAGCCATTATAGACCAGAATTTTTTAGCTGAAATATTTCACTTTAGGGAGGTGAAATATTTCTAGGTGTGTGGGGGGGGGAGACCCCCCCCTAAAGTGAAATATTTCAGTTTTTACCCCCCCCCACCCCCCCCCTTAAAGAGGGGGGGATCCCAGAATATTTGAAAGAAATCCCGAAGCCTGAGGACAAGATCTATTTGGTGGGACAAGGCTCCAGCTGTGGAGACTCCACATCAGCACCTCGAGGCTCGCCCAGCTGGCTGACCGGAAAGGATGCTTGGGTTCACTGGGAGATTCTTCGATGGGATAACAATGGCATTTAATGGGATAAGAATAGGATAATAGAACCATAAGATGATAGTGATGATAATAAATGATAATAATAAGAAGCAGAACCTGGGATTTTTCTAGGATAATGATGATAATATATGATGAGAATGGAAAGTAGACTGGAAAAATAAGAACCATAAATGATGATATAGGTCATGATATACCCTCCGGGAACCAAAAGTGGCTGGCTTGGAAATCCTCTATAAATATCAACATTGTTCGGATGTTTCTGCACGCCACATTTGATCACCTAGGGTGAGCTCAGGAGAAGCAACGAAAATAACATCACCAGCAGAAGTTGGGTTTAATTGGGATTATTGTTATTAAACATGCCATAACAAAACATGCCATAACATAACTGATTTTACACACACAACCTTGGGATTCTTGTTGACCATTCTGCCGGGATGACTCTGGAGGAGTTGGAGGCAGAGAGATGAATTGCACGCATTTGAACATCTGTAGCATTTGTTGGGATTCTATGCCATGAATTGCCTGAACACAGGTAGACATGTTTTCTATAGATACGTGGCTTCGTTGGCTTCTATCAGAAGTGAATGAGACAGTGGGGGTTTAATAGGCTAACAACATCTAACAACCAAGAGGATAAAACGTATGAATGATGTGAAGGACAACACTTGCAACTTGCATAGTGGTTGAATCCTGCCAGCAATGATGACGAGAAGGATTTCCATCTCTGTTAATCGGAAGATTGTTGTGCCACTACTCAGAAGTTGCATATATGGGCCCATATTTATAATGGGAATTTAACCAACCCCTCTCATTTCCGTCAACAAAAAGGATGAATAGGAGGCTTGCAAACCAGCAACAATAACAACAACAGCTAATAAGGACTTAACTATTAACCACGTATCAAGCTTGGATGACCTTTGATTCATTTTGACAATTTTTGAAGTGATCAGCTGAACGCGATCAAACGCTGACCTTTGTTGACACCATTTGACACCCCACCCAGACGAGCCAGGAAGGTTCAAAGATGGAAACGGTGCACTCCAGCCGTTGTCGACCGCAGCAGACTATCAGACCTTGATGTGCGACGGCATCGGCAAGGCCGCGCCCTGAGGATGATATGCCTGGGGCCCCACTTAGGCCCGATTAAAAAAAGGATCGTCAACGAAGCTTAGGTTGATTTGCATCAATGAACTAGGGCTGGCTCATGGATGTTTATGGTATTATAAGTCTAACATAGCACAACTGCGGTTAGGATGAATTGGATGAATAGACTCATAGGCTTTAACGAACCCACTCATAGGGGCACCACCTTCCGCATAGTGATTCGGAGACCGAAGGCAGGGGCGCAGATGTGGGTCATGAGATCATCAGTATGCAGGAAAAGATGGGGAGACATCATTCCGCTGGTAAAATTCATAGCTATAACTATATATATATATATACAATATATATATATAACTTTAACTTTAACGTTGTTTCCCTAGTCTACTTCTTGTAAACATACTTCACCACCTAAAACATACCCAAATATTTTATGAGAAGGCACTCGGATTCGTAGGATTTAGCTGAGAATTATTGACAAATGTGATAACATGTGATAACCATGTCTACTAGCAGCCTCAGAAGCAGACGAAGCGGTGTTTCAAAGGGCGTGCATCCCCTTGTTGCGCATGGTTTGCCGTAGAGTAGGGGGTGTTGGGGTCAACATCCCCCGGATGGCAGGTGGTCAATAGTTGAAACCCAATTGATCCAACATGTTTTTGAATTGTGCGCATGTTGTGGGATACACTTGAGCTGCTGGCGGGGTAGTTTTGATTGAACATACATATGTGCATGCACATATAATATAATGTTTCATACACGGCAACAACAATAATATATATATAATGATATTGTATGCACATACAGGTTTGCAAAAAATATAGCAACCCCAAGAAAGCATAGAACATTGGTTTATCACTAGTTTAGCGATAAATCACCCTGATCCGCCCCAGCTTGAGCCCCTGTTAGGGTCCCACCAAGTTGGTTTGCAGCGGCATGTCCATCCTACAGGCGAGGACCCGGGCCCCATCAGTTGTGAAGTCCCTGGAAATTTGACATAGCCATGGAAATCAACATGTTTATACAATAGAACAATACTCTATATTAATACATGGGCAATTTTCCATATCGTCATATCTTATCATATCTTATACCAGAGTCAGGGTAAGTCCAACATTAAAAACCATTTGTGCGCTTGCCGTTTGTTTTTCCTTGTGAATATAACCTTGAAACAGGTGGGGTGGCTCCAGGAACTTTCATAACAATCATAAATAGTGTCATGGGCCGATGGTTCGGCACTATGATGAAGTGACATGTTCTATCCATTAGAGTTTCTTTGGGTAATCCTTCGGTCTCCCATTGTGAACATCAATCCGTTGGAGGGGACCGGCTCCAAAAACCCATTCACAGGTGAGGTTTCCTAAATCGAACTGGGGATTACCTTGCGAGTCATCTGAGGTCGTGGCATTGGAACAGCCATGAGTGATTCCCAAAAGGTGTTGATGAAATGCCAGCTTTACGTGGATTAAAGGAGTTGATCAACTAAAATGGGAACTCATCAACTAAAGCTAGCAACTATTATCTAAAGTTTCTAAAGTCGTTACAAGCCGATTCATATTCCCATTATCCACAGTTGGTTGATATCAATCAAAGGTTGCCCGGCGGTTTAGATTGGTGCTGTGGGCTCCTGGGAGATTCCAATACTACCAGGCTAGACACAGGCGGGGCGTTAACCGTCAAAATTTGTGTCGTTACTATTGGGTGTACGCTGCATTAGTGAGATCTAAGCTTATTTCGAAGTGGACCAAACCTACTTACTCATTAAGAGAATCCTCAGAATCGTGCCAAGAAGTACATACCCAGATATGGTGTAGATCATTTACTGGATTTCCATGGTTTCTTTGTGTGTTCACTGGAGGGTATCACATTTGGAATCCAACAATGGTTTTTTGTGGGGGTCACAAACCCATGGTAATGCAACACTAGTCCTCCAGTAAACATCATTAAACATCATTTAGCCTCCATTAGTCATCATTTAACCTCCAATAAACCATCATTAAACCTCCATTAGTCTTCATTTAAACATCATTAAACCATCATTAAAGGTGGGTTTCTCCCATATTTTTCAAATGATCTTTCCAGCGATAGCTCCTTATGGACTCGGCGGATCCGCAGGTCGGCACCTGGACCATCTGCGTTTGTGACGCCGATGCCATAGCACCTCCAAGCGCAGGTGCGGGAGAAACGTTTCATACGCGCGAACGATGGGGGTTGGGATGGAAGAAACCGCTCAACTCTCAAGAACCATGGCAAATTCAATGCCCTCTGTTTTTTTTTAACAGAATGGACAATCATAATGTTGACAATTACTGTAGGTAAATCAAATATCAACGAGGTATTTTCGGCATTTTCAATAGCTATGTTTACCGGAGGGTAGTCAACCTACCATTGGGGGAGGGTTTATAGCCATTGTTGGTCAGTTCTCGCGCCCAAGGGGGTGATAGAAAACCATAACGACCACGCAAAAAAAAAAAAAACTCCCACAAGCAGCAAGCGTCCCATATTACCTGGTATCATCATTAGCATAGCTATCAAAACAGTAAGAATTGCAGTGTTGATGATGATGAAGATGATGATGATGATGATGATGATGATTGATGATGATGATGATGATGATTGATGATGATGATTGATGATGATGATGTCGATGATGATGATGATGATGATTGATGATGATGATGTTGATGATGATGATGATGGTGATGGTGATGATGATGATGAGGAGGATTGGGATGATGATAATGGTGATAATGATGATAATGATGATAATGATGATAATGATGATAAAGATGATTTTTATGATGATTTTTATGATGATGATGTTGATGATGATTGATGATGATGATGATGATTGATGATGATGATTGATGATGATTTTTATTATTATTATTTTACTTTTTTTTATATTATTATTATTTTATTATTATCATTATTATTATCATTATTTTTATATATTATTATTACTATTTTTATTTTATTATTATTATTACTATTATTATTATATAGTTTTTATGTTGAGGACGACGGCAACGACAATGATAATATGGCGAATTTCGGGATACTTATGGCATTATTTTGGCAATGCTATCGGATTTAAATCACAACAATGTCAATAATGAAAGTGACAGAAATACTGCTCAATGTGAATTCCAGGATCTTAAAATGGAGGTACTGTACCATATAAGTCCATATTTTGGGGGGATATTCCCTTACATAGGCCTAACAAATAGGCCTTATATATGGTAGGTACCTCCAATCAATCCTCGAATGGCCATTGAACTGCTATAGTAACTTTCAATTATACGGAGTTCACCAAGAACAATCGGTGAATAAAAGGAACAAACCCAATGATGAACGGAAACATAGGAGGATTACAGTATTCTCCGATCGCCGCAAGAATCCTCACCTCTGATTGGGGTTTTTGAAATTGGGCATGTATATAGTAATGGGCCTAGTAATGGGATATATTACAGACCTTTCTTGATGCTTTGTGATTTTCAGTGATGTGCCTGGGCTAGATGCATAATGAGCATAGCATTTCCGGTGATGTCAGTTTTCACCCTCCCCTTGGAGTCGGGGATGACATCCTCTTCCAATTTGTGTTGCGGAACCTAGAAGCCAGATTGAGATTCGTATCCACCTGGCAGAGAAATGAAGATATGGAGGTTTCCCAAGTCAAGGCAGTACACCAAATCGACCAAGTCACTGGACCATGACTTTCTGACCAGGTTTTCTGACCCACAGATGTTGGTTCTTCGTTTTTTTGAAACCCTGCCATACGAGTGGATTTGAAAATAGGGTATACCCGCAGACTAGTCATTTTACAATGATAGGGAACATTCTCATAAACCAACGGATTTATATAAAGGTAGCCTGTTTTCAGACAAACCTATATATCTTCAGGTCAGTATCCACTTTTGGCAGAGGCAGAGGCCCAATAGCTAAATTCTTGGAGCCCAGACATGGTCAGAAATGGTTAGGGGCCGATGGGCTCTATCTCTGGGATTCGTTGTGAAGATGTCTCCGATCATCGCCAATGAAGGTGCTGGGACCAATGAAACGACAACAACCACTTCCGTGTGCCACAGCTAAGTTCAGAAAGGCTTTCACAGTGTTTTTTTTTGTTTTTAGAAATGGTAATCAGTCTTCTTGTGGATTTAATATGATTTAAAAGTGGATATTAGATGATATTAGTGGATAAGTGCCCTTTAAGAGATCTAGACGGCCTGTCTCCGGGGTTGATTTTCCCCTGAAAATGAATCTTGAATCTCTGATACAAAAATCATTTGTTTGCTGTGAAATACCCTCTGGTAAACTAACATAGCTATTGAAAATGGCCATAGAAATAGTGGATTTTCCCAGTAAAAATGGTGATTTTCCATAGTTATGTTAGTTTACCAGAGGGTACCAACCATGAAGACATCTCCACACATCTCCAGACGAAAAACCTGGCTGCCGTCACCCAAGGGCCCCCACTCCGCTGCCATGCAACGTGCCCGAGCGCTTCTGGCTAGGTGGCCTCGAAAATTGGCCGCATTAAGGGGATATCTTGGTCCAAGAATGGGTGGGTGCTGGTACCCAAAAAATGGGTGTTTGAATGGGGAACTTGAAGTGATAAACCACGAGAAACATCGAGAAACTATGAGTTGAAAGTGGATACACGCAAACCCCGACAGTCCATAGTTCTGCATACACGGGCGTGGATTTAAGTTTATTTATGTTCCGATTTTTCTAACTAGTGTTCATTTAGATATCCGTATATTCCAATGTGGTAAACCTGGGAAATCGTAAACAATGCCGAAGTTACATTCAATTTTTGCCATTTGGACAGGGTTATCAAAAACCATACAACAAAAGAGAGGTTCTGGTTGTCAGCCCAATATTTTTGAACCCTGGTTGATCAATTAGGGGGTACATACACCATCATACACCCCCAAAGTTTATGCCAAAGGTTATGTCCTACTAAAAGGTACCGTGTACCTCACGGACCGTGTATCAAAATGTATGCAGTGTGTTCTCACTTTCTTTCCGAGACACACGGGGTGGGGCCGGGGGCTAATAACGTTCCTCGGCCTTGATTTGGGAAGAAGAAATCATCAAGGACGTCACTTCCATTTTTGTTTCTCTACTTTTTGAATCTTTTTGAGCTTCTTATAGTACACCACAACTTCGCATTCATCCACGGCGAACATCAAATTCGTTGTCACTACATTGGAACATGTTCATACAGGTATTACCTTACTGAAACAGAAGGCCACTTAAATTTGAATTTGCAAATGATGGTAAAACACCCTGAACACATTGATGCTTCTGACGCTCCATTTACATTGACATGAATTATCACATGATACATTGATACACTTAAACAAACCTACTAAACGGCTGCAGGCAAACATTACACATTCATGGTTCAATCTTGAAAGATTTATTTTAAAAAACACGCTCCCTCACAGACACGGCGCGTAGTAAAATGGTACGACACCAACTATCAACAGCCCAGGGGTTTGACATTAAGGGTGACATCACTGGTACTGTGAGGCACCACCTTCCATAAACACAATGGGACTTCACCACTGCCGCGCCTAGGGGACTGGTGTCATGACCGTGAACGGTCCCAGGAGCTGTCTTTCGCAACGCTTCAGCGGTGGCCCCGCATCATTGGTTGAACATTTACAGTAAACAAGGGTTTTGAGCATGATAATACATTGCGGTTTTTGACATGGGCTTGTGGTGTCCTTTTTTATTGTTCCAACCATATTAAGGCGTGGCAGTCTCGCGGTGTCAACATGTGAGAACCTAAGGGATCGAGGACCTGATCCTGAAAGTATCTGCATTAAAACAGCACCAATAACATTTATGATTTGCCTACATTCAGACTCAAAATCCACCCAGGATTCTAAGATGGATCAAGAAAACAAAAACTTCATAGATCTAATCTCAATACACAGATGATGAATCTATAGAGATATCTAGCGTAAATGCTTGGCTTCTCGCAGGAACGAGGGCACCTTGGACTGGCGCGCTGGCACGTCAGATCGCTTGATTTTGCAGGGCACAGGGCTGGGAAGCTCAAGGGCCTCTGGGGACGAGACCTCTGGCGGGGCAGCGAAGCCCCCGGTTGCGAAGTTGGTGCAACTCCCATTTCACTATGGTTTATGATACCTATAACTAGAGTATAACTACACTTTTTTCTGGGGTTTATAAACCAACAAACATCACTGGGGGGCCCCACATGTGTAGAAGCTTGGATTTTCACCATGATTTCACCAACATATGGATTTCAGTGTGACATATGGGATCATATGGGGGCACAATTGGGTACACAATTAGGGTATAGGTTTGTTTGGTTGTTTCATGAAGGTCCCCAATATGTTCGACATTCTTCGACCCATATTTGGAAAACTTGTTTTAGAAGACTGCGTGCTACAGAATATGCAAAGCTGAAAAGTTGTTTGAAAAGTGTGGAACCCCTTTCAGGTAAACCGTGACAAAATCACCTTACTGGCCCAGCCACAAAAGCGCTTGTGGCCCCGAATCTTCATCGAATGGAATATTTTTCTCCATGGAGAACGATGCTATTCCGTGCGACTCCCCTTTTGCATACTATGCAAGTAAAATCGTACGCATATTTACGGGCATGAACATGTCATTACCTCATTACCCATAGGATCCATGTATGCTATATATGGTAACATTTACCATCAATATACCCCCAATGTTAGCATATATACCATACATGGATCCGTCATGGGTTATGGAGTGAATGTAGGGAAATGCATCGTAGATTGATGATTCAGGGAGCTCCCTATGCATCCATGATCCATGACCGGCCCAGTCTCTGAGGTTGAGCAGTGCGGATCGTATCCGCATTGTGGCTGGCACAGTGGATTGCTACGTCTGGGGCCTCGGAAAAGACGCTTTTCCCTACCGGGATAGTCACATCCCATGAAACCTCGAAATATATGACATATAAAGGATACACCAACTAAATGCTCAGCAAACCAGGGTATTTCTGTATATTTCTAGGAGATGATGTGTTTACCATTGGAGAAAGAGGCGAATGGGAGGGTATTGCATCAATCACCAATCTTTGAAGCTAGCTGGGACAAGCCTGTATCCATCATCCGAGTTCCAGAGTTTGAGGCTAGATCACAAACGCCAAACATTTGCCAAGCATGGTAGTCTTGCCGACAGTAGTCATGAGTATGGGTGCAAACATGTCCACATCCATTCTCACCCAACAGTGTAGCTGACATCCACAAGCCATTGAAGGGGCTCCAGCGGGGCCTAGAATGCCCCTGTAGGCTATGGCGTCCGCTATCCAAAATTACGTGGCTAACTTAAAAATCCCCCCATTTCAGTAGGTAGATTGTGCTAAGTCAATCAATCTACATCACATTATTCACATTCATCAGATCATGCGTTCCATGTTTAACCCTGTTCCATGATATTCCCCGCTGTTTTCGCTTCCACTTCTGCAGGACTTCACCCATTCCAAGCAGATGCATCCGGCAGTGGCCAGCGATGTACCCTACTTGGATCCTTCCGGGGAACGCTATGATGGAGACAGCACCATGGAGAAGCTTGGTGCGCTGTGAAACCGTGAAAGTGCTGGGGATGAAGATGTGGTTGGCCCTGGGGATAGCTTATTGGTTGGTCTAGATGGTGTTATATTACATATTATTTCAACATCTTGTGAAATAAATTCATGAGGTTAGATTTTAGATATTTGGTGAGTTGGACTAAATTTAGATAGATTCCAGATGTTTATACGTCGCATTAGATAGAATCGATTCATGGATGGATAACGATGGATGGATCGAGAAGAGGATGGACGGACGGACGGACGGATCGATCCATCGACCCAACGATTCATCGCTCCTTCAATCCATCGATCGGCTGGATCGATTATATAGATCGATTAGATTGATTTGAGTGAATAGATTGATTTGATTGAATAGATAGATAATGATAGATATATTAGATTGATTGGATTGATGAGATACAACTGATATATTAAATAGATTAAATAGATTAGATAGATAAGATGGATAAGAATGGATAAGACGGATAAGATAAGATAGATACTATAGATAGAGATAGAGATAGAGATAGAACTGGCAACCTTGAAACCCTTCCAAATCGATCACCTTAAAGAGCATCATGTATCCTTGGTGATGTCCCATTGGCGCTGGTGCCATCCCATTGTTCTGGGCGGATCATTGGGGTTTCCTATGATATCGTATCCTACCGGAGATATGATGACTACCCAGCCAGTTCCAAGACGTCATGTCATGGTCATCTAGTCGTTTACTTGGCTCCTTTGTTCCTAGAGGAGGGCCTCCCATGCCCAGGAGATGGTTGGACATTGGCGTCATGATACCAGGAACCTACCAGGCAGCGATGGCCTTTTTGAGCTTGACTCCTTGCCAATTTTGGCCCTGTAGTGGTTCATTCTGTCTCATATACTTCACATGTCATAAAATCTATTCATCAACTATATCATTACTGCTCGCTGCAGGGAGGTCTGAGGCGCCCTACCTTCAACCCTTCAGCACTGGTAATTCATCAACTATATCATACTGTACTAAGTTACTATATCACACTCATGCTTTAGACTCATGGAAGTCACCAGCCGCGCTCCCCGCAGGTTTGTTGGTGCTCTGCAGGGCAGGGCAGCTGTGACAGTGATGAGGACTTCACTACGAACGCCGGGGGGCCCATCAAACATGGCTGCCTGGGAAATCCCTTCTCAATGGGGCATTGAATGGAAACAAACAACGATAATTGATGTTCCATTGGCATGCTTGATTACCAGAGGATATTTTGGGTTGAAGATGTTCGAGTCAAGGTGGCAATCTCCCAAGACTGTCCTTCAAGTGCTTGTCTTCCAGCAAATAGCAGGAATTCTAGCTACAGTCGGATGAATACATAGCGAGAACATGATCGCAGGCGCGGACGGCGTCGTTCACGCCTATCCATTGAATCATGGTGCTGCTTAGGTTGCTACCTTGGCAGTGGGAGGGCCCACAGCTGGAGTCGTTCAGGCGCGGAGGTGTGTTCGCTGCTCAGGTGAAAAAAGATGGTTTGATTTACGATTTAACTCTCCAGACTTGGGAGGACTCTCCCAACTGTCTAGGAATTCTGGGTTGCTTGAAACCACCAATAAGACAACATTCACATAGGATGGGTGCCAAGCTCATTTTCGCCTGTGCCAAGAACCCGTGACCCAGGGCATTTCGCTCATCGTATCCTATGTTGCTTCATTGACACTCCCTTCTCCCAGTCCATTCGTTTCAGACGACCCTGTGATACCCTGTGATGCTGACATGCACCGACATAGGGATCCTGCTCCGCAGATTGTTTCATCATAAATGAATGGCATACACGAGAATCATCTCGGGCAAGTTCTAGCGGCCTATGTTGTCCCATGCTGCCCGATGTTGAGGTGGCTGTGTTCAGCTACGCAGAGTCATGTGGATGTTTTCTCCATCACCAGCTGCCTCAATGAGAGAATGATGCATAATTACTTTCCAATACTTTCCAGCTGAGAATTTAGGGCTAACCAGTCAGTGCCAGTCATCCGAAATATTTCACAGCGTTCTCGATGCCAGACCTTCGAATGTATCACAGGAGCTCGAAGTCCCGGGGGGCCGGGTGGGGGATGATCCCCAGTGACGAATCATGACCATGTCATCCCTAACCTTGGAGGATGGTAGTGGAAAATCCCTTATAGTTTTTTTGGGGGCTACAAATGGATACAAATGGAACATATCCATAACCGGCAAAGAAATGTTTTGTGGAGTGCCAAGGATTGACCATGATGTTTTTGGATCCTATGTTTGTCCAGCGGATTGTATCCAGAGGGAGGGGATGCTGGATAGATTTTCCACTCCCAGAATTGGTTGAGAACATCATCTACTGGAATGGTCTTCATTTCATGAGAACAGAACACTGATTCCAAAAGATAATCCTCCTAAATGGTTTTTGCTGAGATTCATGGCGGCAACCAGTATTCCTTGCTGTTCATCTGAATTGATGGAATTGATTAGTGCGATGGTTTGACCACAACACTTGAACCCAAGGGAAGATGTTGGTTTTATAATTCAGATAATTCAGGACATTGATTGGCATTGATGATCATCCTGCCTGGGTGTTACACGGTACCTGGTTATTGAGGTGGTAATCACTTACAAAGACCCTGGGTGGTTCATGCAACCCTGCTCATGAATCAGGTATGTAAGAGTTGTTTGACTTAAAGCTACTGCTTAGTAAGTTCTCATTCAGTGGCTTCATGCCATTCATCTAGCTGGGTTTTGTTAGTCCAGTGACCAGTTACATCCAGTGGGATGATCCTCCAGTAGGGTTTCCACTCAGTGACTACACAGGATGAACGATGCCCTGCTCCGCCGAGGTAGCCTGCACTTTGCCCATCGAAGGATCAGGTGAGGGCTGAAAGTGGAGGTAACCCTTGAGGCAACTCTTGAGGCAACTGACCAAACAAACGATGAATGACGCTAGTAAGATGAGGCTTGACAGGCTAGTATGAATGTTGCTTTTAAGGATCACCATTTTTTGGCGTGTCCTTTTCCAATTCTTTGACGGTTGTAAGTTGCAAGGGGGATTGGCATTTCAGCGTTTGTCAAGGGAATTTCAAGTGCAAAAAATCATGGGTGACAGGTGCAATCCCCTTAGTGCGGTCAGCGTCAGCCTGCTTGATGGAGTCGATGGAGACCTTCACATGGCCAACTTTGGCTCCACACCTTTCCATCATTATTATTCTGATTGGTGGTTTGGAACTTTTTTTTTCCATTATTTTTCCATATATTGGGAATAATCATATCATCATCCCAAGTGACTTTCATATTTTTCAGAGGGGTTGAAACCACCAACAAGTATTGCATAGTCACTTTCCATGCCTTTTTCCGTATAGCCTCACCCCCAGGAAACACCAGAAAACCCGGTGTTTGGCTGTGAGTTTCTTCATTTTGGGGACCTGGGATGATTCCCCATGTCATCCCCATGTCCAACCTCCCCGTCGCAGCTGTGATACGCACAGGTCTGAGTCAGAACGACAGGATCTACATCATCGCTGAACACTTGGAGTCCGGACTGCTCAGCTTCCATCACCGTAAAGATGATGGATATAGTTTCCTAAGTCATGGAAGACCCCGACTCGACTGTGTGGGTTGCTTTGAAGGTTTTTCATGGGGTTATTCTGGTGTCATGGGGGGTTCATTTTGTTCTGATCTTCTGGTTTATCAAAGCTTTCTTGAATCAGACAAACTAGATTTATCATGATTCATCATAGTTTATATTTTAGTTTATCATATGCCTATCATGTTATCTCGCATTTTCATTTTTGAAGTCACTTTGACAAGCAATATCTAAATCATTAGCCAAAAAAAAAGCCGATCCTGTCGGATGTCCCAAAATATAGCCATGCACAAGATTTGTGTGTGTATTCACTGGATTGGATGAAGGGGAAACCTAGAAACCATGGTTTTAGTTTTTTCCCATGAAAGATAGGAGTTTCATGCGGGTTCCACTACAGGTTTCCACTAAACCATGAAATCTTAAGCGGAAACCATGGTTTTCAATGGCTAAATTTTCCCTGAAACCAATCCAGTGATATCAGTGATGTATGTACCCTCTGGTTATTTAACATAGCCATGGAAAATGGCCCATTTATAGATGATGTTCCCAGCTAGAAACCTCCATTCATAAGGGATTTTCCATGGCTATGTCATAACCAGATGGTAAATCCCATTCAATCCCATTAAATCACCATTAAATCCCATTCAATCCCACTAAATCACCATTAAATCACCATTAAATCACCATGGTGGTTTCCCATTATTTTTGTTGAGGCCACTGAATCAACCGTGGCTTTCGCAGCTTCGCGGCGTCGCACCGCTGAGGTGCGGCACAGCACCACAGTCCTTCTCCGTAAATCAAGGCGCTGGCTCCAGTGGAGAGAGGACCAGCGGTTCAGCCGGGGACCTTGGAGCAGGATGCCAACCGCAACCATCAATGGGATATTAAAAATTGGTGATTTTATATGACTTTATATTGACTTTATATGATTTTATATGATTTTATATGATTTTATCATATGTTATCGGGATTTTATGGTGATGATGTGGGATGTTGTGGTGATGTTGTGGTGATTTGGGGGATAGTACTGGTGATTTCATGTTTTTTGTTCGTAAAGTAACAGTGTGCTATGGCCATGGTCCAGTTTGATGATTGCCTATTCAAAAGCTCTAGCTATGTCAGTTTGCTGGATGGTACTGCGTGTGAAGAATATCATAGATCGAAGTGATTATGATACTTACATGTGTATCATGAATATACGTCAATTCAAAGTCAGTGTTTTTTTTAATAATATGTGTTTATATGATTATTATCATGTTACTACGATATGGAATGTGCATACTGTTTTTTGTTGTCCAGTTCATGGTTGATCGTCGTCATGTATCTATTTGTCGTTTCGGGTTGTAGCTGTGGTCCTTCTTGCTGGCGGCGTTGTCTTGCTGAGTTGCGGATCTTAGTTCCAGGAAGTTTTCTTAGACTTCACTCGAGATCAATTTCGCCAAAAGAAGTACAACAATGGTTGACATTTATAGATATTATGTACTGTATATATTATGTATCATTAAAATTACATTATATATATATATATATGATTATAGATTATTTTCCCACAAAAACCTCTGTTTATGGAGGATTTTCCAGCCAGCTTAATGTTTGATTAGCTCCATTTCAGAAGATCCCCGCGACCGAGGACATCATCTCCCGCTTTGGTGGCATCATCATGGGCAGCCACGGGACCTTCAAGGTTTGCTGGTGCGGGAGTGACTTGCCTGGCTTGGGATGCTGAAAGTGTGTTGGTTCCAGAAGGCGTGTCAAGAAACATGTATTATTTATTATATTAAAAATAGTAAAAAATAGCAACGATAATGATAATAATAATAACATAATATATATATAATTATATATATTTACAATATAGTATATAAATACAAATGTAAATACACACATAACATAAATTGATGTCTATATATATATATAGAGAGAGAGAAACATACGCCCACAATTATTTCTCTATCTCTTTGGATGGCAGGGCCTCATGCTGCAGCACGTGAGACACGTCGCCGTTGAGGTTATGACCCCATCTCCTGCCCAGCGTGCTGCCAGACCATGCAAGAGTCTCCAGGTTGAACCAGGATAGTTTACTTATGTTTACCATCATCCACAAACCAGCCATGCTAATGGGATTCTAATGGAATTTAATGTGAAAATATAGGACAATCCACTATAAATGGAGGTTTTAATGGGAAAAACACAACCTGGATTTGCTGAAGGTGACTTTTGTTTCCTTGAAGGAAATTTATATAGTACTTAGGGTTCCTTGGGCGCTCTGAAGCAAATCCGAGACAAGGGGTTGACCAACAAACATCGTCTGGCTGGGGGTTTTCAGATATGTAAATGAATGTATTGTTTTGCAAGCATAGTTAGGACAATTACTCTACCTTAAATAAACTTAGACCTAGAAAACGAATACGTGCAAAACAAAGTCGTGTTTTTTCATTGCTCACGTGTATGGTAAGGGTACCCGCCTAGGTCTATGTTTGTTTAGTGGTATTGCTTTTCTAGGGCTAAGTTTATTTAAGGTAGAGTAGTTTAGATAACTAATGTTACTGTGGGGATGGGTGAAAACTGCCGTCGTTGTTATGTGAGGTATTCAGATATATCCAACCGTCAATCCAAACAGCGGAATATATTGCTTTCAATTGGCTTAGGCAGTTCGGACAATGGGTAGGTTGGCCAACAGTAAAAACCAGCAACTGAAGTTGTCGAATCAATCAGGCAACCAATATTGTTTGCCCCTAATATGTGACGAACCAAAAAAACATGGCTTGAACCGACAAAAACAAACCAAAACTACACCACAGGCTGGCGGTTCCTGTTCGAATCAAATTATAGCAACCACTGACCTCAGCATGGTGGCTAGATTGCCAATGGGTATTCCAAAATTGGTTCACTTCGTTTGATTGTTTTTTCAAATGATTGTACTTTTCCCATGTTTTTCTGACCCCCTACCAACTTATGGGGTCTTTTTAAGCTCAGGTATACCGTCTATGCCGGAAATCTGACCAGTGGTGGGCCAATTCAAGGCGCTGTTTTGGCGTGCGTCAAGCCGCCCATGATGACCACGGGCTACTAATATGATATAGTGGATATGTTACTATATAGAATTATATGGAAAGCACATACAAGGAGACCATGCTTCAAGTCCACCATGAAATATAGAGGGTTCCTGTACAAGTTCCCTGCAAGCAGTTCTGGGGAACTTGCAATGAACTATGGTTCTTGTATATATATATATATTTTTGTGGGGTGAACGAGCTGATTGATCAGCCGGGGTTTCTCTATCAAGTGTTGGGACTATGTAGATTAGATATGTCAGAGTGCCCTGCGGCACTGCGGAAGGGGTTTTGAGCCAAAAGGGAGTGGCAGAGATTGAAGATCACATGAAACACATTGGTGACAGATAAGGGATCTGCAGAGCCAAAGATGCCAAAAGTTGCTTGCAACACGTGTCATGGTCCCATTATGCCCCACTTTCAATGGGTTCCCACGTTCCACATAATTTATCACATTTTTTCTAGTTTTAGACATAACTCATCATAACTCCTGAGGTTTGAGAGTGGGATACTGAGGATACTGGTCCTGAACTTTGCTACTTTCCCATCAGTTTTCCCATCGTTTCCGCCTTCGGCCAGGGCAAGTGGACCGTCCCGCCATCGCGGTGCCCTTCAGCTACACCATCACCGGCTGGGGCTTGAGCGACGTGGATCGGATCCGCATCGTGGACAGCACCACCATTTGCGGCCAAGCAGGAGCCGAGGTCCAGCCCGGCGGCCTGGAAGGGTGGGAAATTGGCAGGTCCCGGCAGGATGCAGCTGTTGGATCTGTGCCCTTTTTTATTTTCTCAGTCCATTTTTTCCTCAATGTTTGGTATAGCAACCCCAAAAAAAAGAGGGAAAAGTGAATTCCTAGTAAAATGGCGTGAATGACTTTTCTACTTGTTTAAGGATAAGCATAGTTAGTCAATGTTAGAAAATCGAAAGATCTACATTCTTGCATAGTGAGCACAGTGTAGTATGCCGCGAAGTAAACTAGCCAAGGATACCAGCTGACAAAGTACCGTGTGGTCAGCCACTTCCTGTTCCGACTATTCAAGGTGGCAGTTTTGGCACTTTGACATTCTGGTTGGTGGTTTGGAACATGTTTTTATTTTTCCATATATTGGGAATTTCATCATCCCAACTGACTTTCATATTTTTCAGAGGGGTAGGTATAGCACCAACCAGCATTGAACACGGCCAGTTTGTAGATTCTTGCATCATTCATGGGATAGCCCACTACGTTGGTCTTCCTTCTGATTTCGCTGAGTTCCTTGGGCCTGGAAGCTAGCACCGTGCCCAATGGACTGCGGGGGTTGGATGGATTGGATTTGGAGCAAGTGTTGTTGGCAAAAAGTCCCATCCCCCAAAACATATTAAACACCCTTCGGCCTATGGATGCCTAGATGGTCTCAAATAAGGTGTAAATCCCCTACTGCACCAAGATTTCTGGGCGATTTTGATATCTGCAACTTATGAAACGGAAAAACCTTCCTCCATGCAGCCATTCTGTCTCCAAGGGTATCACACAACTGGTTGACCTGTTTTTTCATAACACACTTGACAGTCATGGCGATGGACAACCAACACAAATCCCCACTCCAGCGCGAAGGACCACCCTCCATAGTGGAAGGTGACACTTCCTTGAATCGCACCAGTGTCAGCTGGACCAACATCATTGCAGCTGCCTCAATTTGGCCTCCAGAAATCTGACAGGGGAAATCCTCCATTCCCAAATCTACATAGCAACACCATAAACCCCAAAGAGATGGAAAAGTTTGACACCTGGAAATTATGAGTGAAACATCCTGTACAACAGCTGCGATAGTGGAATGATGTGACATGTTCATTGTCTAGATTTGATGTGGATCTTTGGTTGGGCTGAGTTATATATCTCGGAAAACTTACCCATAGATTTCGATGATTTTGTAAGCATGAATGATCCCTTGGGCAAGCTACTTTGCAGCTATATTACCTCAAAAAAAAAAACAACCATGGCCTCCCACTGCTAAATTCCTCTTTCAAAGGATGTGACATCATGGAAATTCAGATGAAGATTTAAGACATTGCTCAAACAATAGGTTTCAATTTTCAATTATTTGATATTTTCAACCCTGCCACGCACGATGATTCCAACCAGATGGCTCAACCCCCAAGCCGCCCACGCCGAGGCCAGAGAGATGAGTGGCTCGTCCATTTGAAGACAGGAGATGGCGAGAGATCATTTGACCCTGCATGTTCCTACATCTATATCATCTATGATATGTGTTGATATGTTAGGTAGCTCCATTCCCATGCATTGATACATACCATTTTTTTACATGATAATCACATATCGCAACATGTCTATATATCTTGTCATTTCTAGACATACATACCTATAATATGCATATCTATGAAATAATATAACACACACACACATATATATATATATATACGTGTATATATATATATATATGTGTGTGTGTGTGTGTGTACGTGTATGCCTGTGTGTGTACGTGAGTAGTGTGTCAAAACGTTCCGCGGTGCCACTGGTGCCACTGGTGCCACTGGTGCCACTGCTTGTTTTGTCCCACAAAGTTTGCAGTCAGGAAAATGGCAGTAGTGACCGCTTCTCCATGTTCAGCCCAGGAAAGTTCCGTGTTTGCTGGTGTGCCCATTACTACCTGGGTTGCACCCAGGGCTTCCATTTCGCGCTGCCATCTTAGTACCATTTCGGATGTGTGGACTGCGTAGTTCTGTGTGATTCTGAGACTTCCTGATGTAGGCGTGGGCCTTTTATTTTGCCTACCCTTTGGTAATTTAACAGTTGAAAATGGCCATTTATAGTGGATTTGTCCATTAAAAATGGTGATTTTCCATAGCTATGTTAGTTTACCAGAGGGTATACAATCTCAGCATGTGAAGTCAGCACAAGACATAGATTTCCAGGGATTGCTTGCAGGCATTTTGTAAAACACACACTCTGCGCTGATTGAAATGTCTAGATCTACTGTGGAATAATAGTTCAGATTCAGATTGATCTCCAATGCAATGTAGACATCAACCTTGGTGCTGATATGTGCTGATTTCAATGGGCGATGTTTTTTTTCTCCGCTGAGGTTGGATATTGGCGTCATCAACCCGCGCGGTGCATCCAACACGACCTCTATTGAAGCCATTCCAGGTCGTGTGGCATCTCAGCTCTGCATTTGCCCAGTTGATGAAGGTCAGCTTGTTTTCAAAACATATTAATAGCATGGATATAGCATGGTTCCAGCTGTGTTGGTTGTTTTTTTTCTCATGTCCAACAATCACAGTGACCAACTAAGATGTACAGAATGTTTCAGGTCTGTTTTCAGGGAGTGCTGGGACAAGTTTGGCGTGCATGTCCTTTGCCATTCCCTTTTTTAAAAGATCAGATCATACTGTATCAGATATCAGTTCTACAGATTGTTTAAAGACCACCAAGGGTGGCATTCCTAATGATGAACTTCCCACCCAACAGGTACCATCAAGTATTAAGGCTCCTTGCATGGGAGAGGCATGCAAATCTCGTGAGAATGTCACCATGAAGTCCACCCGATGCCCTCCCAGGTCCCTTTTCCTTAACGGTGACTGCAGCGGTTGGCTCCGTTTTGAGTGGAGATGATCGAATCAGGATCGTGCACTCATCACTGTTATGCCCTCAGCTGGCATGGCCTTGGGTAGTCCCACTCGCATGATTTTGCATCAATTTCCAGCCTTTTGTCCTGCAGACAGCTTCCAAAAACATGAATTCTCGTGATTCTGGTTTGAAAAGCTTTGAATTTTCCAAGTCAAACGCGTTGAAAGCCCTCTTAGGGCGGATTTCGACATGTCCCCAAACTCACAAGAGCAGACTACATAACCATCCATGACTAGAGCAAACAACCTTTGTCCCCAAACTTCCACCTGTGTCAAGCACATCATCTCTCCCTATTTGCACAATGCATGTATATATTATAAATATAGCATATATATATATACACTGTATATCTAAAATAGACATGTTATTTGATTCTGTGCGCCATGATTGTAATTCCCATTTGGATTCCCATTTGGTAGTTACAAATCATAATGATACATATTTTTACATTTATAATTTACAATATCATGATTTCTTTGGATGTATCTCATGCATCCCAGAATTGGTTGAAGGGACAATTGACAATCACCCACAATTCATTGGAATATATATATATATATGATTATAATGATGGTTTCCTGTAAATAATCCCTTAAATATCCTTAACCCAACCATTGACTATCATGTTGGGTGATAAATTCCTCATGACATTCCATTAAATCCCGTTTACTCCCCGTTAAACCCAAGGTCTGACGGAAAGTGCGGGGCCTTTGGGACTGGAGAATCTTGAGCTGCGCTGAGATCACAGTGTCGCGATGTCTTACCCCAAAATAACAGATTGACTTCAAAAAAACGGGTGTTTCTTAGAATGGAGGTCCCCAAACCCATAGATATTTCGATTTTACTAGTATATAATTAGTGCATATATGTATATATAATACATAAAGGGATTTAGTGGTGAGAACCAACAATGCGATAGTTCTGTGTGTCCCCAAAGCCCTTGGTGTTAGAAAATAGGCGCCCCATTTGTAGCTGGACTTCCAGAAGGTGGAGTTCGGGCTGTTTTTCCCCACCTGCCAGGTGAGGGTTGTTAGATTTTATGTCAGTTGCCTCCTCCTCCTCCTCCTCCTGCCTCGTCCTCCTCTCCTCCTCCTCCTCGTCCTCCTCGTCGTCCTCGTCGTCCTCGTCGTCCTCGTCGTCCTCAACTGCGACCCGCGATCCACAGTGTTCTCTGCCGGACCTCAACCACGACCATCCACGCCCAGTGTTCCCTGCCGGACCTCAACCACGACCATCCACGCCCAATGTTCCCTGCCGGACCTCAACCACGACCATCCTCGCCCAGTGTTCCCTGCCGGACCTCAACCACGACCATCCACGCCCAGTGTTCCCTGCCGGACCTCAACCGCGAGTATCCACGCCAAGTGTTCCCTGCCGGACCTCATGTAGGAAGATATGGGACAAAGAATGTGCAGAAGAAAGTTAGAAAGAATGTCAGAAAGAATGTCAGAAGATATGCCAGAAGATATGCCAGATAGAATGCCAGATGCCAGATAGAATGCCAGATAGAATGCCAGAAGAATGCCAGATATATGCCAGAAGATATGCCAGATAGAATGCCAGAAATATGCCAGAAGATATGCCAGATAGATGCCCAGAAGATATGCCAGAAGATATGTCAGAATATATGCCAGAAGATATGCCAGATAGAATGCCAGAAGATATGTCAGATAGAATGCCAGAAGATATGCCAGAAGCCAGAAGATATGCCAGATAGAATGCCAGAAGATTTGCCAGATAGAATGCCAGAAGATATGCCAGAAGATATGCCAGATCATATGCCAGAAGATATGCCAGATAGAATGCCAAATAGAATGTCAGAAGATATGTCAGATAGAATGCCAGAAGATTTGCCAGTAAGAAAATGTATAAATGTCATGGTGGGGATCACACGAAGTAAAGTAATTTCTATTTTTGTTTAGGAACCTCATAATGGATGCTGAAACTGGTTCCCGGATGGTACCCCTAAAGTCCAACGGAGTATCATCAGTTTCAACACTAAATGGCTATGATTTAGTGTTCTCCCCGTGGGTTACCACATCAATCTCCCAGTATAGTGAGTGTAGTGGTTCAATCCCTTTGAGAGAGTCATATCATGTCATATCCCATATCATCTTTGTTAGGTACATTATACATCATTATTATACCATATATGATTTCAATCCCGATGTTGATGGTTCAATCCCACTAAATATACCATTCATATACCCTCTGATAAACGTTTACATAACTATGGTTAAAATCACCATTTTTAGTGGGTAAATCCACTATAAATAACCATTTTCAATAGCTATTTTGACATAACCAGAGGGTAATCCCCATCTTTGTCCAGTTGTCCAGGGCAGGGGGACGCTGCACCAAGGAACACTCCCTGGCGGTCTCGATGATCTCCTGTTGGCCCAGTTGTGTGGATTCCCCCGTCTCGGGCGTTGGGGCGCTAAGTATCGGAAGCTTCGCGATGCCAAGATGCCAAGCACCGCTACTTTTAAGGAGCAAATCCATGGGATATAGTGGTAAATCATGGTAAATCATGGCAAATAATGGTAAATATACTGTATACTACTTTTATTTGTCCTTGTCTGCATTTCTCGGGGTTGTGTATAAAGGATGATACGCCGGACAGGGGATTCCGATTCCGTGAAGCACTCCATGGGGTGACCAAGGCCCCAGAGATGGGTGAGAACAACGAGACCGAAGTGTGGGATCCAGTCCTCATCACAGAGAGCTGGGCACCCAATGATCCTCTAGTGATTTGGTGATCTAAAATCCACATAAATCCAAATATATCCAAATATTCTATAGGATTCTCTATGATCTTCTAGTGATATCTAATGAGATACCAAATTGGCGAGGGCTATATATTCTCTTTTTGGGCCGACAGTACGCTTCTTTGGGCCTTGCCAGGTGGAGAGTACAACATTTGTTGGTGCAATGCTGGGCAAGGCTGATCATCGGGGGCCACCGGAGTCGGTTTCAGCGGAAGGTCAGTTCACCCACTGTTCACCCTAGCAGCTGCTGATTCACGATAGGGGCCGGGGGTTGGGGTCTGAAATAAGGTCAGTTCCGCAGATGGCTTTTGGCTAAGACGCCCTGTTTTCATTTTGTCTCCCATATATTCACGGTTTGATGATCATTTGTGGAGTGATGATGACCTGGCGACCTGGCGATTTTGACAGGTGGTTGCGATAACGATGAGGATTTTGCTTTCAAAGCAGGCCCCATTCGCGCGGCCGGAAATGATGCAGAAACGTGATGAGAGATGAGTAGAGGGAGAGATTGCAGTTGGGAGAAGTGGAGGCGGCATTTGCCTTGTGTGAGCCAAGGTGTTTGGCTGGGCAACTGGAGATATACTGTATCTATTTCAGAGTTGTGGGATCCAACATTTCCAGACTCACCATCTAGGTTCTGAAGAAAGCAAGGTGTGATCATGGTGTGATTCTACTCATTGGAATGTATTGTAATTATCAGCAATTCTACCGCATGTCGATGTTTGTTGCAGGTTGCAGTTGCCATGCCTTGTTTGCACGTTCGGAGCTCCATCCTCAGGTGTGATCAATGCAAGGGGCGTGCAGGGAGCTCAGTATCAGGCTGAGTCCTTGTCATATTTGTGTGTGTGTCATATTGTTTCTGCATGTTTGTGGACGTTCTTATATGTGATCTTGTGTGTGTGTTGAATTACTCCTAGTATGTTTGTGTACCTTTGGAAAATTGCATGCTTATGATCATTATCACCACCATCACCACCATCACCACCATCACCATCAACATCAACCTCATCATCATCATCATCATCATCATCAGCGGCATTCTCATCAGCATCCTCATCCTCATCCTCGTCCCTCACCATTGTAAGTCATTGGCACTCCAGCCAGAGACCGTGACATGATTTTCATCGCCGCGCACGAGCACCAGGAACGTTGGACTCCACTTTCACTGCGCTGCGTATTTCCCGTGTGTGGTGGAGATCCCCCTGACAGGCAGCGGCGGTGGATTCTGGCATTTGACCATCAAATCATTTGCGGATTTGCCCCTATATAGATAGGGACTAACCAGCAAGAAATGGGAAATAGCGGGGATACAGATGCTGTTATAGTTAATCAATGTTAACTGTTAATTATAGATCTTTTTTCGTCAAGACTATGCAGCTCGCTTTGCTGCAAGAAAGTCCGTTTTTTTCCACAAGTGCCGATATCCGATAGCATCTTCCATCTCTTCATTGGAGTCGGTTTATGTTGGCAGTTTTGGGGCCCAGGTGATTTGCTTGAGTGTTTTGGTGCTGCATTTAGCTGTCCAGTAGGCTGTTTGTCAGGGAAGATGTTGCATCCCCCCTATGTAAGCCACCAGTTGTGACCCCCCCCTCAGCACCCCGTGAAAACCCTTCCAAGGTGGTCCCACGGAAATCTCCCACCATGACTCTGGGGTTCTCGGAAATACCAATTAAATCATGGCAACGATATGAATTGTAGTTCTTATCCCGTCAGTGTTTTTGTTGTAATCGATTTAATCGAATTTCAAAACCTCATTTGTGGTAAGCAACGTTTATTACTTTATTTTTATTTTGCTACACGAATACCCAGCTATTCCTATGCTACTTCTTTGACTTTTCATTTTTTTTGCTGTGCGGCAGATGGCTTAACCTCCAACGACTACCTGCAGATGGTCCAAGCGACTCCAAGTCTGGGTTACCAAGATGGGCTGACCAATGTGGCCAATGGCAACACAACTTTGCAGTTTCACCCGGTGTCAGTATACATGTGAAATATGTATAGTGAATGACAAGTAAAACGGCTGATGGTTCATAGCTCCAACGCTCCCAACGTGAAACATCCTGAAACAACCACCTGGTTGATCTCTTCATTTTGAGGTCAACAATATCATTTCTGAACGGAAACCTCATGTATTTCCGTAGCTATGTTACTTGCCTGGAGGGTAGGGCTTGATACTTTGGGGTGCATATGGGTGCAGCCCAGTTGTTATCATAAGTAAAGTTAACTTATAACATGTGATACCCATCTGAAATACCTCAGTCATATGTGGAATATATTCAGTTGCACCCTCTGGTAATATCGAACTCAATGGACCATGTGATCATAGCTATATCAAACTACGAGGGGGATATATAATCCCTATGAAATCCCATGATGTCGCATTATGATTCCCATGGTTTTCCCATGGTTCCATGAATTTCACCATGGTTTTCCCATGATGGTTCCATGATGTTCCCATGATTTTCCATGATGGTTCCATGTTTTTCCGATGATTTTTCGCATGATTTTCGCATGTTTTTCACCATGATTTTCCCCTTTCCATGATTTTCGCATGATTTTCGCATGTTTTTCACCATGATTTTCCCCTTTCCGGCCCCCACGTTCAGATCCCCAGGGCATCCCCACGGCCGAGGCGCCTCCTGTGGCACCGATCCCAGGGCGCCAGCGACGAGTTTCTCCCGTGGGACGCGCATCCGAGGCTACCAAGGTGGCGCCACGTTTACCAAACTATATACTGGTTAGTGGTTTGGAACATTTTTTATTTTCCCCCATAGTTGGGATGATGATCCAATCTGACTAATATTTTTTCAGGGGGGTTGGGACATTACCCTCTGGTTATGACTAACATAGATGGTGTATCTAGATGATATTCACCATATATATAATCTATATATATATATATATATATCATCTGGTTATGACATTCACAGTTCGCCATGGAAATATCCAGCATTTTTAAGAACGGTAAACCATCTATTTTGATTAGGGCCATCTATACCATGGCTATGTTAAATAGCCAGATGGTAAAAGAAATATAATGGTGTTTGGTAAACTATATAGGACATGGTGTATAGATTATTCATGAACCATTAGTATATATAAAAAAAAAAAACTAAAAGAAGGGAATGGTTAATGAATAGATAATATTAGATATAGTTAATGGTTAACGAACTAGTTATAGATATATGAATGAATGGTTTAACAATGAATGGTTAATGGATGAATGTTTAATAGAATATACTGAATAATAGAATATACTTAATGAATTAATGGTGTTAATGAATGATTAATGAATGGTTAATGGATTAATGAATGGTTGATGAATGCTAATCTTAATGGATTAATGGGATGCTTAATGCTGCGACTTCACTGCGACCGAGCGCTGGAATATAGGTTAGGATTCGGGGAATCATCCCAATATAGCCTTAATTCAGGTTATGGAAATATTATAGTTTACCCAGAAATATTGTCTGGTTGGTGGTTTGGAATATTTTCATTTTTTCCATATATTGGGAATGTCATCATCCCAACTGACTCATTGTGGTCTCTTAAAGTCATGGGAGATCCCCAAGTCACCGATGGTTGTTTCAATAAGTCATGGTCATCCATTTTTCTTGGATGATTTGGGGTGCTCCAATTTGAGGAAACCTCCACATTATATCCAAAGCAATTATATATACATATATATATATATAGCTTATCTGGTTTATATCCCAAATGGATTCCAAATAAATGGACTTGGCTCACTTCTTGAGTATTTATCGCGTCTCTGGAGACATGATTGTGGATCATATGATCATATACGACTTTGCAATACATTCGGCTTGACTCAACAAACATAGAAACATCTCAGTACAGGAGCTGGTTGGAATATGCATGATCACGGGCTGGTTGTGGGCAGTGGCTATTGCGGCTTAGATGGTCGTATCGCCAATGAACATACCGGTGATCTGATACAACTTAGCAATGGATCCCATACCTAAATGGGTGTTTTTGCTTCCTCAAATTATCTAACCACTTACTGCGAACTTACTGGATACATAAATGATTGTTATCCCCGGTGGTAGATCTGCATCAGTACGGGGAGATCCCGAGATCGTGGTCCGGGGGTTACACTAATACAAAACACCTATATATCAATCGTTCAGAAACGCCCACATGGAGGGCACAGTCAATTATTGTTTTACATAATTGCATAATCACAATTTTTCATAGGTAACTAAATCCTACGAATTTGCCGGAGGGGGAAACATCATGAAACATCCCCAAAATAGTTTTGTCAATCATTGACCTCAGAAACATCTCCATCGACTTCAGGTGACCCTGGGGAGAGCAATTGAGCAGTAAAGCGGAGATGGTCGAGGAGATGGTATTGGAAATCAATTTATGCTGGCAATCCCCATTGAGAAACCATGTTTTATAATGTTTTATAGATTTTCCATGATTTTCCAATGTGGAATTTTGTCTCCACTGATCATGTGGCAGACGTGGCAGGCAAAGATCAGAATGCGCAAGACGTGGTGATCTTTGAATTTGGTTCGCCGCAGGACGCACTGCGGCTGGGGGCTTCGGATGGGGCACTGGGTTTGAAGATGACGCATTTTTTTCAGAAAAAAAATACGGGAAATCATGTTTGTACCAAGCATTTCCCCTAAACCAGGCTGATGAACTGGGAATGGAAGTAGTAAATGGCCATCCTGAAGTCCATGGTAGCCTTAATTTCCTAAGTTGACCCCGCAGCAGTCATGCGGGCAGTAAGACGTGATTCTCACCCGCCCCAACGAAGACGGAAGTGGAATATCCATTGTGTTGTTTCTGATGTGTTTAATGTGTTTGGACTGGGAAGAACAAGACATGATCAGATGATGCACAGTTATACTTTGCATAGTAGGTTGTTATATATATATATATCATATAGTGATTAGTATTGTTATTATTATGATTATTGTCATTGTTGCTATTGTTATTTTTAATATTATAATTATTAACATTATGTGCATATGTTGTTTCTTTACATACCATATGGTGTTATTATCAATGGCAATATTATTAATAGTATGTTTATTATTATTACTATTATTATTACCATTAATATTACTATTATGATTATACATGTGCATACGTTTTTTTTTCATTTTTTTTCTGTACATATGTGTATGATGATATATCAAAACAGATATTCATTCCCCCAGCCCACAGAACTTCACAGTAGGCACCGGGCGTCTTCCTGGCCTGCTACTGCCAGGGGAACGTTGGGGCAACTCAGACTCCCCCCAATGAGAGTGGGATTTGCATGGATTCAACCAACCAGAAATGGGGATTTCCAGCGGGATTTCATGGTTTACTAACCCTGAAAATATAAAAACCTATACACTATACAGACAGTATATCCAGGATGGTAGTTCGATGATGGTTTGGTTGCCCTAAATTTCCGTCCAACTGTTCCCTTTTTGGGGGGTTGCGAAGCCACCAATCAGAAAAGCCATAGGGAAACCCGTTCGGATCATGATCTTAACTTGCGAGTGGCCCATGTTTGTTGTAAATGCCCACAACTTTTGTACATTGTACTTGATTCATCTAATTTAACATGATACCTTGAGAATTTGTCAAGGTGGATTTAAGGGCCTCCCCTCAGAATACTGAAGTGGTGCATGTTTGTTAGTCACATTCCCAATGTCAATCAATTTCAGTTGCATCCCCTACCATCTGAATTTCAAAATCAGCAAGTTGAAGCACCCCTACTATCCGTTTGAATCATTTGAAGTTGAAAACCGGCAATATTCATTCCGTGAGAACATCCATTAAGACATCTCCACGTGGGTCCTAGGTTTGCAACTCCATCGGTGTCTCGGACCGTGACTTCTTCCAACAAGCCGGACAGGCGGGGGAAGCCCATCTGTCGATTCATGATCAATCGCGGAGGGGACGACAGAATCAACTTTACGCTTGTGATCTTGTGTAGGTACCTATATACCGCTTTTGTGCAGTGGGTCCAGCTTGGTGACGTAAAGTTAGGTGATCCCCAGTTGCCAAACGGCAGTCCCTTTAAGTGACGGGACAAGCTTGGTACCTATATATGTTTCTACAACGATTATGTCAATATAATTTACACGCATGACATGTTATATATTGATTTTAATAGTTTACATCACCCAACGATTGTAGATGGGATGTTCCAATCGCATAAAATGAACAATCCCCAGTCCCCGGTCAGCAACCATTTGGGGACTATTGTCAATCATCCCAGGTGTATACATCACAACAGTCCCCCCGCGTATGTTTCTTTTTATTTGGAAAGTATTGTGTAACATATAATATATACATATAGTTGTATATACACATTTGTTCAACGACATTTCAAAGGTCCATTGGCTGTATCCTTTTCCAAATGTTTTCCAAATAGATCCACTATAGATGCATATGAGGCATCGTTCAGCATGCTATCATTCCAAACTGTTTGTATTTAGATTCAATGTGATTTGATCAGTTACCCTCCAGTACTTTAAAATAGCTATGGACCATGCCCCATTCATAGATGAATTACATTGGATTACATTGAAACACAATGAATTTTATTGAATTACATGTTAAATTATGTGTTAAATAAATTTAAATAACCTGTTACAGATTTTGTTGAATTACCACAGGCATCCACAGGCTATAATCCAATATAATCCATTAATCATGAATCAAATATAATCAAATGATGTTGGCCCATCAACAAATCCAGGTGACCGTGATGGGCTTAGAGGGCCGCGATGAGTACCACAAGTGTTACTTGCGGCTCGGAGCAACGCAACGGATCAATGCAACGGAAGTTTCCCTCGGGATTTCATAGGGACTTCATGGGGAAATGGTGAAAATCATGGTGAATCATTGGTAGATCAAACAAAAACTGGGTGAACCCTTGGTGAATGGGCCATTGAACCATGTAGATGTAGCAAGAAAGCCACTGCCTAGTCACCATCCCCAATAGTTGGCGAGGCCACAACCTCACCTGTCCGCTGGATGCTGCTTCGAGTGTTGTGTTCCTTCGTTCTTTAATACACATAGCACATTAGAAATCGGTGGGAAAATGGTGGGGAAAATCGGAAATGGGTTGGAAACTGTTGGAACAGACGATGCAGCGCATTGCCTTCGCATACACACGTGCATGCACACTTTTTTGAGCCAATGAACCAGTGAACCAACCGTTAAGGATATGTATTATTATATAGCCAGTGCCCGGGTGCCCTCCACTCCCAATGGTAAGCTGGTTTATACCCCCATGAAACCATACATACATCTACCATAAACCATGATAACCATGCATAGTCTAATAAATTCGATTGAACATGATTGAGCTATCATAAAATCATATAAAATCATGAGAATTCCTGTTTCTTGTTGAAATACCCTGGGTTTTTTCGTTTGGTAATCCCGACATGTCCCATTGAACGGTCGCGAAAAAACGTCTCGTGTGCCAAGGCGGGGGACCTGTCACGTGCATCTCCGAGGGACTGGATTGGATGCACAGGATGTGAGGTGCCCCAGGAGGAGGCGATAAAAACCTTTGAACACTGCAGATTTGATGGTAACAATAACCTATTGACCATAGGATACTATAGGCTTATATTCAATAAAACCATTGATTAAAAAATATTAATAACCTATTAACTATAGGCTTATATTGAATAAAACCATTGATTAAAAAGAAAAGAAACATAAATAACACTGTATCAATTGGTTGATAGAACAACGATAACATATTGAACAGTTAACTCTTTATAGTTACATACCACAATAACATACAATAACCATAAACCATAAATCACACAGTTTAGGGATTATTGTGTTATGCAACTATCGCCCGATGTGTTTGAACATACCGCAATCATCTCCTTGCTTGGGGGGTTGATTTCTAAGATTGTTGTGTTGAATTTGAACACATTGACATTGAAAGTATTTGTTGGCTTCAGTACTTCCTTCTTGGAGTTTGTTGGGGTAAAGGTGACTACTACTCTCAGCATTCTGTGACATTTAACGGGAACAGGGAATATGGACTTGTTGGGAAAACACATCGATTTTCTCGACATGATGTTCTCTACAAGACGTGCTGGCTTCAACTGTTTCCAATTTTCCATGCATGGGTTGATGACCCCCAATTCATGTGTCATATTGTTCGGAATGAGTAGTGGAACAAATAACCGCTTCGTCTTTGTTGCTGCTCAGTAACCTCAGTGTCCCAAAATTGGTTGAAGAGAAATGTCGGAAAGCAAGCACAAAACCAATATTATTGGAAATTTCATTGAAACTAATCCAGTGCATTTGGGACCCCGCATAGACTCCCTATATCTCCCTATGTTATCCTTATTTTTGCCCACACATTGTGATGTCTTTTCGCCATGGCGCACCGGGCCGAGGCCCTGATGTTGGTAGATCCCATGGACAACTGTGGGCAACAAGGTATTCCAGTGAGTTTCAGCACCGATGGGTGCCATGACTCAGGGCGATGTGCTTCGGTCATTGCTGGTCATTTATCGCTGGGATTCTTCATCGAAGTAAATGGCATATTTTCCAGTGCCAGCTGACAAATCACTGGAGGGTAAGCTATAGCTATTGGGCTGGTAGCTATTGCGTTTCAAGCCTTGGGGTGGAGGCTATTCTTGAAACTGGCTGCATCATTTGCCGAGGTCAAAGTTCTTTACTGAGAGCAATGACAGGCTGGGATACTCCCGAGGATGACCGTTTTTGTTGCTTGAAATCCACATCATTCTGTCATGGTGCGGCCTTAAAGCCTTAAAATCACATCCCGCGTTGTTTGTTAATATAGTGTTAAAATTCCTCGGAATTTGGCCAAGCTTTCTCTTGATCATCATTTGAAACATGTTGAAACCACGTTTTTTTAATGAAACATGGGCAGCTGCGCGGCCTTCACAGGATCTTTGTGGGCAACTTTGCGGCGGAAACCAACGAAGGCGCCATGGAAAATGGGCATGGACATAGTTGATTTACCCACTCAAAATGGTGATTTTCTACAGCTATGTAAACGTTTACCAGAGGGTACTATCCTGGAAACACTTCGCTATCTTTTTTTTTGGGGGAGGGGGCGCTATATCATACATGATTGGTATGCTACGTAGAATATATTATATAACATACAATCATTGCAATGTGGATCATTATGTCATACCATGATATACTGTCCATTGAATCAGAGATCCGCCAGGTTTGGAGGGTTGGAACTTCAACCTGGGAACCCCGGTGCGAACCGGAAGATATCGGATGCCACTGGGTCGAAAGTTAGGGGTTGGGCATTGATTTGGCTGAATCCTTTCTGCAATTAGTTAATTATATGAGATACCGATAAAGATCCAATGAAATCAAATAGATACAGCGCAAAATAGAATGGTATAAAATATAGTATAGGATGAAATTGAATGAATGTAATGAAATGTACTTACATGACATTTTTTTACATATCATGCTGTCTCAGGGTGTAAGGTGCTAGTCTGCCTTAGTCTGTTTCACGTCGTTCCATGACGTTCCAATGAACCTCCGCTGGCCTTCAAAAAACTGGGCCATCATTACACGGTATGATGTGCCCAACGGATGAAGTGAGAAAATAAGATCAATTGAATAAATTGATCTTCGATATTTTGGTGCGCCGCTGGAAGATGCTGGAAGATTTTGCCGTAGATTTGGTAGCCTTTGGTAATCAAGAGTGGGAATGGAAAATCCTCTTTATAAAGGGAGGTCTTAATGGGAAAATCATTTGATAGGTTTTTTCCATTGCCACGTTTGATTACCATAGGGTACTGATTTGGTTTCACCATCGCATTCAGGTGCTACTGCATGCGCACCCGAGCCACCAATGGCGTTTGTGAAAATCGCATCGATTTCGACAACCCTGCAGGCGGCGACGGGCACAGCACAAATATCATGGGATCATCCGAATGTTACATCCCACTAAGAATCGTTAAATGCAATATGTTTACATGCATATCTACATTATCTAACATAAATCTTAGTAATCTTTTGAGCCTTCTAGCTTCATATTATAAACCAATTGAGTTATTTAGGTGCTTTAGCTCTGCTGAAGTCCTTGGGCAATGGAGAGAGATCTAGGGAATCTAGGCCGGAGAGATGACACAGCCCGTCCATGGCCATGGTGAATCATACTCATTATGAATAATCATGCTTAGTTATCATATAGTAGTAATATAGACAATATATGATAACTGTTATAACTAATGATTGAGTTCAATTGTATGTTATATGCACGTAGTATAATGCCAATATATATATATAATATAGACAATATATAGACATACATGCCCATAGGTGATATGAAATGCATGGAACATTTTTTTTTTGCAAGGCACGCTTCATTTCCAGACACCCCCAGGGAGGCTCACTTCATGTCCCCCTGACGGGGCCCTGACGGAGGCGAGCTGTTTGTTCGCGGCTCCGACTTCAGCACCGAGTTCCGCTGTGATCAGGGTGAGTTGGAAAAGCCCAGCTGCGTGGAAGTTGGAAGTCGCTGGAGATTTAATTCACCTATTATTGTCCAGGACTTCAACTGTAATAATTTATGTATATATATATACATATTAATGATGTTTATACAATGGGATAAGATGGGATAAGACTGAATGGGAGATGTCACCAACTTTTAATGCTAACCCAGGATTGATAATCTCCAGCTTACTATAGGCCCATTTTTCATTTTGTAGCAGTATTTTACCACCTTTTTGGGGTTTCACCCCCTGAGCTTTTGATATGCTTGTCAATCAACACAGTTGATTAAATTTGGGTTGACATTAACCCATACATGATCCACCATAATAACATGGCAACTTTATAGAATTTATAACATACGTCATATGAACTTCATGTAACGGGGAAAATCCTACTGAACCACTGAACCACTGGATTTTGCAGTATGGCACACCTGGGATTTTGGAGGATGGCACACCTGGGTCAAAAAGTCCAGCTTACAGCTAGGAAATAGTCTAAGAGTTATTCACATAGTTTCCTTTGCCCATTGTCACTGCAATACCTGCGAGAGATTACCGTCCTAATAGATACTTAGACACTAATAGAAAGTGTTGAAGGACCTAACTACATGGCATTTGCACTGAGGGTGAGTTTGCTGATGCTGAACCGGTCGAACCTCCAGGAATCTAGCAATGGCAGTGGAAACTTATTGGACACATTCGGAAACAACCCTGATTATCTGATTATGGCTGGTTTCTTCCCGTGAACGCTATTTCCGTGGATTTTTCCCATTCACACAGCTTAGACTCAGCCAGCTCCCACTCTTTCTGAGTTCCTAAGGCCCTGCCTTGTCACTTCCCGCGGTTCACAATGGGATGCATTGGACCGCATGGTTCTGCTTAAGGTGGGGATGATGGAGATATCTGGAGATATGGCTCTGACCATGTGTAAATATTTATACATGCCATGAATCAACCATAATCAACCTTGGATAATCATTCATCCCAATCACCTCCACCTTCCAACGATGGGAACCCCGACATTTCCAGGGCCTATGAGTTCAAGATTGGGCTAGTCTGGGCGTAAGCGGAGTGTTAGTCCTGGTTTCATTGGTCCCTTTAGCTGGGCTTAAACCCATCCTCCCAGCCTCGTCATGTGGAGAATGGATGCGGGTTGAGAAAGGTCGTCACAGACTTTGGTGGACTAACATGCCCTTTGCCTTGGCAAGGATCATATTCATATGCAAGTTTCATTCAATATAGGAAGCAGCTCCACATTTCTGGCCGATTTTCAGGCGGGCGAGAATCATACCTGTGGAATGGTCATTGGCTCGGTTCTTTTGTGCCGTTTTTTTAAAACATAATTGTGCCGAAGATTATGGTGGGACAGGGAAATAGAATATGGTGGGACAGGGAAATAGAATGATTGAGATTGTCATGATCAAAGATCCTGATGGTGTTGTTGATGATATGTTTTCAGGTTTTTGATGAACATTTACGTTGTTTTCGCTTTCTGCCTCGTATGCTGCTGTTTTTCCAATCCCCAAGTCCCAAGGTGAACGGAGGCCAATATCCCTATTGGTCTTCAGCCCTGACTCCCAACACCATTCGCCCTGATGCGGGGTCCTGAGGGTCCTGGGGATGGTGAAAGATTGTTTCAGCCGGGCTGGGAGAATGCTCCAAGATTCTCCAAGATATCACCAATTGATTCTGCAGCAGATTCAATCTACTGAGACTGTATGATTTTCAGTTTTATGATGTAAAGACACCGAAGTACCAAAGCTTCGACCCATGACATTCGAAGGGTCCAAGAGAGTCAAGCCAGGAGGGCTTGTATGAAAAAATGCATCCAAAACCCCGAAGTTGCCATCCTCCGCATGATCTAAAACAATTCTTTTGGTTCAAGGATGTTTTGGCGCCTCCAGCCATGTCAAGCGAGGCAATCTACCTAGTAGCTGTAGCAAGGTGAAGGCACATAGATGTAGCGATGGCAAAACCTACGCTGAAGATATTACTCGGTGGTAATATAACTTAGCTATACCTAGCTATGGACTATGGAAAATTGTCATTGATAGATACGTATAGCAAATGGATTTAATAATAATGTTCTTTTTCACTATTTTGCCATGTCATTTATATTAATTCATAGATGATTGCCTTTTACACATCGTGATTTTCAATAGCTAATAGCTATAGTCAAATGACCAGGGCGGTGAATCCAGAATCAAGAAATTCCAAGCCTCCAATGCCTGAATCTCTTGAGTCTTAAGGAAATCATATGAAGTCATGTGTTTTCACACATGAGTTCTTAATGATAACTCTAAATTCCACTCCAATCTCGTGGAATGTGTTGAAACACCTGGGATGTGTTTACACTTTTTACATGATGATTCATGATGATAGAAACTAAGTGGATGGTATTATATAACATGTATTAACATTATTAACTATGATATACTACCATCTCAAATGCCCTAGATCTTACATTTATATAGGTATATTAATACTAAGTATGATATGCCATCTATTTAGACATATAGATTATATATGGTGAATATCATCTAGAATCTAGATACACCATCTATGTGTCTCATTATGTATATATATATATACATCATCCACCAGTCAAACGTATGTTGAAGAGATGTCCAGTCAAGAGGCCATCTTGCCGGACCTGTGGGCCGCGACCTGGCAAATCGCCAGCGTGCGTGGGGGACCCTGCTTGGGATGGGAGCCAGTTGGGATGGGAGAAGTGATGGATTTCCAACAGTTTTTAAGGGAATGATTTGGGATACACTCTGATAATTTAACATAGCTATTGAAAATGGCCATTTATAATGGATTTACCCATTGAAAATGGTGATTTTCCATAGTTATGTTAGTTTACCAGAGGGTACAACACCTATTTTTCATGGGGATTTCTGTTCATATTTCTTCATGGAGTTTTGATGTTTCTATCTTTCAGGGTTGGAAATGTTTGCGGGCCAATCAATATGGAGCTGTCTATAGACTATGGTTTTTCCTAAGGTCCTCAGCATATCGCTTGCTTCACAGCATGTAATTTGTGCTACCAGCAGATTCCCTTCATCCCAGAATTGGTTGAAAGGATAATTGGCAGGAGCCCCCTAAAATTGATGGAAAAAAACATGTTTTTATGGCAAAAACACATCACTAAATAACTAATTTGTTATAGATTTTCTCTTAAATTAATCCATTGATTGAAACCGGCCCCCAAATCTTCAGATCTCCAATGCTAAGCCACGGTTCCTAAGGGGGCCCCACCTCCATCCCCTACATCAGCGTGTGAGGTGAGCCAGGGACCTACCATATCTGCTATTGCGCTTACATCATCGGCGCTGAGCTCGAAAAAACATCGGGACGGTGAAACGCATGGGGATTTCCGAGGCGATTCCTGGGGATTTCCGAGGCAGTGCCAGCTGTGTGGAATCGAGCACCACCAACTACCAGGGCTTCATGCACGAACTGGGCACCGTGCGCGTGGGGAGCCTTGGAGACACCGAGGGGGACTTGGGTCTCATCCGGCGATGGAGATTCAGGGATGGTAAATCACTCATGCTGGTGTTGAGCTGCCAGATTCAAGCAACTCAAGCAACATGCACATAGAATATAAAGAATCAAAAAATCAAGGGGTAACCCCCCACATGTTTCAGGAAAACAATGTCCTTGAATCAATTCGATCCACTACAGGAAGGGTTCGATCCCCCAGACATAAGTTTGTTCACAACACTATTGAACTAGATTAGATAAATTACACCCACAAATCCTAGTTGTTGGGTTCTATTCTAAACCAACTTATTGTACTTTTTGTTTTTAGGGCTCTTTTATAAGATTGAATTATCTCCTTATGATGATTGGTTTTGCCATTTGTATGTTCATAAAACCCGCTAAAATTTGGAATGCTGATGCTTTTAAGATCTTTTAAGTATAATTACTTTCTGTTCAAGCATATTTGCGATGATGATCCCCAGTCATATTCTTCACATGGGGTGAAACCAGATTCCAGATGCCAATCAAGCATGTCTACAACCCCTGCACCACAACAGAAGCCAATCAGATAATATCCCGTGTTTCATTCTTGTTGATGTCCACATCCACATGTTGATATATAGTGGATGTGACTATCTATAATTTAGGATAAACAGTGATAACATAGAATCATAATTAAGCATGTTTATGCTAATATTTTAATTTTAGGATATAAATTACATTAAATTACTATATTATCCTAGATGATCCATATGGTATATAACCTATGGTTAATCTATGGTTAATAAATGATCCATATCCTAAATGTCGCCCAGGTGAGCGGCGCCATCCTGGCCGTGCGGAGAGCCTGGTGGCCCAGTGTTTTTTTTTAACAAAACGTGGAGGAACCAAAGCTGTTTAATATACCATTTACTTTTCAAACAGATTTAAGAGGATTCAGATATGCAATATCGAGAATCAGAAAGAATATCAGACTTGCAAAACTTGCAGCGCTTGTTCTCGTGTGGGCTAGATTGCCTGAGGTTGGTGTGACACCAGGGGCATGGAAACCCCCGCTGCCGGCAGCACCCTTCGCGGTAAGCGCAGGGGGAAGTGGGACATGAACGCAGGGTGTATGGCCAAGATGAAAAGACTAAGATGGAAAGTCTACCAGTTGTGTTTCCTAAAGGGCCCCCCAAAAAAATCCACTGTTTGGATGGGTGTATTGTAATATGTTGGGGTTCCACCTTGTTGTTTAGGGGTGGCAAACACGAACGCGATTGCATTCGTGTGCGATGTTGTTGGTGTGTGCGGAATATGCAGCAATGATCAGTCAGACATTAGGCAAGGTGCATTTTTTGCGCCATATAAAACCGTGTTAATTTTGAATGTGCACCTTACCTGCCTGTTACCCCAGGAACTGAATGATCTTCGGAAAGGTATCAATACCTACTTGTAGCTACACAATTCCAGTACCAAAAGAACATGGTAAACAAGACGATTAACCCAGGCTTTTCCAACAAACACCATACAATCGGTAGACGTAAACACTAGCCATGCAAAAGTGGGTCAGCACTGCTGTGTACCCAACATAGTTGGATAATGTTGGATTGGAGTTGGCTGGTAAGCACATTTAACTATATATTTGTAGATACATGATACATCCTGGTTGGTGGTTTGGAACATGGCTTTTATTTTTCAATATATTGGGAAAAATCAGCCCAACTGACGAACTCATATTCTTTTAGACGGGTTGAAACCACCAACCAGCATCCATCATAAATATTTTTTCATGAATCCTATTCGTTGTAGTTAAGGAGCTACCTACCTATCCCAAATCGATGACGCCACGCTCTCCGGCAAGGTCAGCGTGGAAGTCGATGCTCAAACCACTTTCCTGTGCCATGGCGGAACCGGGGTTTTGTTTCCGATCAAAAAACATGAATAAGTAGCTGATGGTTTAGTTTTCCTTCATAAATGGTGGGATGAGGATGATGATGATGATGATGATGATGATGACGATGATCCCAGTTGATCGCAATTGACCAGTACTTTCAGGGTTGAAACCACTACCTGGGGAGCTCGTTATAGCCCGCATGATGTGGTGCAGTATATCCTGTGGTTGTATCAATTCATTGGCGTCGACTTGCGGTGCTCCAGACTTGTACAAACCATTACAAACCAATTTGATTGACAACAACCGGTGCAAAGCAAGATTTCTTTCCGTGTGCTGCTGGGTGTATGAGTTGTATACTGAATATGAATATATATATATGTATTTATACATATTTGCACTCTATATGTTTCATTTGATTTGATCACTCATAAGTCTTTTTTTGACAACATAATACAGGTTGGGATAGAGAGGTTAGAGCAGCTTGGACTTATTGCCGTAGATCATCAGGTTCCAGACGGTTCTTGGTGACATCCTCATTTGATGTTTCCAATGTCTTGGGTGTCCCATCAACACGGTCATGATTCTGGACCACTCAAAGCGACTTCAGAACGACCTCACCGCAAAGATGTTTTCTTCAAATTACTGTTATTATGGTTTACTTCGTGATAAAATTGCTGTTGGTTGCATCTCCATGGTCTGGTAGTCAAGCTTGCTTGGTTGAAGGTGTATCTTGTTTCTTGATTTTTCGTGCATGCTCTTTCTCTCTCTCTCTATATGTATATATAGAACATTCCTTGTTTTGCTGCATGGCCTGCTTGTCATATCATGTCGTTTGATGACTTAGGTTGGTTCTCTCCCCATGTGTTGAATTGATTTTGTCAATTTTGTCCTCATGTTTGTTACTTAGCCAATTTATGCACCAATATGCTAACATGACTGGGGTATATTGATGGGATCCATGTTACCATAGCAGCACCATGGATCCGTCATGGGTAATGATTCATGATGTATTGGATGTTCGTCCCCATCTGTTAAGGATTGGGGGATTATCCGAAGATCATCCCCCAAAGAAGTTCGACCAAAAGTTGGGACCTGCCCAGGCGGTATAGCTGCGTGGCCACTACCAGGGCGGCGCCGGAGGATTTCATCCCCATGAAGTCCAAAACTCAAATGGCCATGGGCTGGCCATCAAGGCGATTTTCTCGATGAGAAACGCCTGTCAACTACCCTCTGGTAAACTAACATAGCTATTGAAAATGGCCATTAATAGTGAGTTTTCCCATTAAAAATGGTGATTTTCCATAGTTATGTTTGCCATGTTTGGTTTATCAATATGTTTATCACGGTTGTTTTCATGTGTTCGTTTTGAATCGTGTCTCATAACCATTCATAACAGACTTGATCTCTCCATATCTCTCCACTTTGACCGTCAGGTCTGACTTGGAAAACTGCACGCTGGACACTGGCGTTCAGCCATCGCGCAGCCGTGTGTTGTTTTTTGAACATCGAGGGAGTGGTTAGGAAAAGCCAAAGCCATGTCGGTTACGAGTCATAATTCACTTGAATCATATGGTTTTTATAGGGAAATCATCCCCAAATGGCCGAACTATTCAGGTTAGTGAAATATTATAATTTACCCAGATAATTTATTGAGTGATATGACTAACTGACTAAGTACTAATGCCGGGAAATGCAACAAACATATAGGGAACAACCAACAACCCAATGGCGAAGTGTTTCCACAATGATGGGCAACAGAATTCATCCGCATTGCCCCCCTGTCCGTATCGAGACAACGAACCAGGATCAAGTTGAATTGTTGCAGTAAATCCAACATCTTCCAGCACTATTTTACTTTACCTCCGGTTCAGCTCTTATTACACAGGTGGTTCCGGGATGTTCCGGTGCTCTTTGCTACCAAAGAAACATAAAGAAACTCACTGGGTACCGCAATCAATGTGTCAGTGTCAAGTAGCTCCCAAACATGGTGAGCTTTGCAATGCTTCGTACACGGTTGGAATTGGCATTGGGTTGATCCACAAGCCACTTGCAGACATTACAACGTGACGCTGAGGTTGATTGTATCAACTGTCATCATACGTATATGTGATATATCCCAATCAGTAAGGCTCATGCTGCATAAGTGATCTATCATGATCTACTAACTTGGACCAGCCTCAGGCGATCATCCGTAAACGGTTGAGCTACATGAAGCCCAAAAGTGCGAAATGTTACTGATCAATTCACCATCAAACAACTTGGCTTCCAACCCTCACGCGGACCCCCAACTCATCGAAGGATATCGAGTTGCTCTCGGACCGACAGAAGTTCTTCCCCCGCTGCTGGGGAACAGGCACCACTGTCGAAGCCGTCGGGAGGCCCGCCTGTTTTTCAGCGGTCTTTCGGTCGCTACAGCGGATCTGCGCGTTCTGCAAGAGTTTTTTGCCAACGATGGAAAAGGTTCATTTTAACATATAGTTGAACCATGTTTCACCACTATCTTATCACTATTTTAGGGCAGGATTTGACTTTTCGACCTTTTTGGGGGGTGCTGCTGCGATGCAGTATATCAGTATATATTTGGTTGACTTCTGGTGATGTCGGATAGCCTGCAGAGTCAGGGTCTGAAGATGTTTGAAGCTCTTTGGTTCTTCACATGTCAGCACCTAGCCAGGCTCAACCGCTTTGTTAATTGGTTATATGTGGCTTATATAAGTTATACATATATATATATATATTTAGATATAGATAGATAGATAGAGATGGTTAATATTCCGCAATAATAGTTGATTCATTTTTGTCCCTCGGCAGGGTTTATTGATGTCTATTGCTTGCGCATCATCGTCCCACGGATCAACTTAGGTCATTGAGCAGGGCCCAAATGTGGTGTCACATGGCTGCAGCCCTGTGGGGCAGATGACATGTTCCGGCTTGGTGGTTTCTACATATGGTCACCATCAGGCGCATCGTCAGCATCCGCATTCCCAAAACTCACCATATTTCTCCAAGAGATACCCAAACAGTGGCCATGGCCATGGGAATTCCCTTTGTTTTCACCGGTGATTTTCCCAACGACGACGACGAAGAAAATCCTTGGGATGTTCCAACCGAGGCATGTACCAGTTCACATTCCGGAGGTGACGCTGGAAACGGCGGAATATTTGCACGTCGCTGGGCACTGCGGCACTGATGTTGAAATGCAGAGACGTTGACGTTGAATATGTCAGAATGATAACATATGATAACCAAAAAGAACTGAGGCAGCCAACTTGGAAACCACCCAAAAAGTGGAGTATGTGGAGTTGGACAGTGATGTGATTTTTCGACATGGCAATCTTTTGGTTCTGTGCTAAATAGATGTACTGTTTTTCGACAGATCCGCCAAGTCCCCGACACCGACATGGCTGGGTAATGTGAAGCCAATTTATGCGGGTCGGCGTTTCGCAAAACGAGGGGCTGGGGAGTTGTGACACGATAGTTTTCTCGTCCATCCCATTTTTTCATATGTTTTCTGTGCAATTTGGACGATAATACCATCTGGTTATTTAACATAGCCATGGAAAATCACAATTTTTAATAGGTAAACCGTTCTATAAATGGGCCATTTCCCATGGCTATGTTAAATAGCCAGAAGGTATTTCATAATATTTATCAAGTGACTTACTCTAATTCCTCTAAGATTGGCACCCGCCTGAAGCCAAGACGTTTTGTCTTGGATCGATTCATGTTGGGTGCCCTAATATGGATGGTTGTATAATGGACAGTAACCCATAGGATCCATGTATGGTATATATATATATATGCTAACATTTGGGGTATATTGATGGGATCCATGTTACCATATATAGCAGCACCATGGATCCTATGGGTAATGGATTTTCAATGATTTTCACATGATCCGATCAACTGGAATCCTGATGCCCATTGTTTGGGGCCCACCAGCTCCAAGGTTTGGTGCTATCCCCGTAACGAATGCTCCAACGGACGATGCGCCGGGAGAGCCGAGCTGGGGTGGCGGGTAAGAACTGTCCCATTTCTGCGTTGATGTCTATGGAATCGCTTTAGTGGAAAGATGTACCATCTGGTTATTTAACATAGCCATGGAAAATCACCATTTTTAATAGGTAAACCCAGGTAAACCATCTATAAATGGGCCATTTTCCATGGCTATGTTAAATAACCAGAGGGTAAGTTTAAAGGTATGCCAGCAGTACGTAGTAGCAAACCTGGCGATATACCCACCATCTCAACAAAAACACCAACTCATGCATCATGATGCAAAATCTTGTAAAATCAGACCTTTCACAACTCCAGCTCCCATGCATACTTGCTCTCTATCGATACTACCAGAAAGTTCTTGTGCAACCTGTTTGCAGCACATGTTCGGAACATATTGTTGTAATCCTCCTGGAATTGGTTCAACGGAAAGCTGATTGATGGTTTACAAGTTGTAGAAAAAAACTGGTTTTCTCTCCATGTGCCCTTAAACAAAGCCAGAGATACAATAGCCTGGCGAATTTGATCAACTTTGGGGTTTGATCAACATCTCACTGCAGGTCATGCCATCCAACAACATCGGTTTGACGATGCCAATTACTGGGGGTTTGATCTCCACCACAAACGTTGCGGCACCCAGTGGAGCAACTTGTGGGTGCGAAGAATTTTGTTGGCAAGAGCTGTGTGGAATATGACTTTTGAAGGGAACATATGATAAACTGTGGTTATATAATTCATGTTATACAACTAATACGGGGTCGGGATGGGTTGGCATCCTTGTTCTTGTTCTGATGGTTCTTATTCTTACGGTTCTTGTTGGGTTGTTCTTCTCCGTTGCTTGTTTCTCCTTGGTTCACCTTGTTTATTTCATGGGTCCCACTTAGTCCCAATATGTCTCCATCTTTTTTATTTTGACAGAGTTCGACCATGTTCGATCAAAGTTGTCCTATCATTTCCCATTTTTTTCCCTTGAACCCTGCATGATTCTGGTTCCTAGTCTCCGTGGTTGCGGTTTGTCTGCACTCAGAACTGGGCTTCCGTGGTCTCCACATCCTTCTCCTTGCGCCTGCCTGTGGCCAGTGACTATGACGTGGGTCCGGCACCTCGAGTTTCACCGGGGGCCGGTGATGGGGCCAGTAGGGGGGGAGCTGATGGGAACAGGCCCCATTTGGAAATCTAATCCAAACCTGGCAGAACATGCCATTTTCAATAGAGGTCCGTTTTCGCCTCTTATCATCAGAGAGGACTGTAGTACTGGTTGCTGACTTGCTTACCAGTCAACAAATATCGGGAATACATGGAAATCCCGGCCAGTGCTGTGCAGGTCGGTGTCGGCTACAGTAGGTGCACTAGAATTCTAAAGAAATATGCTACTCACCCAATCAAGCCATCCAGATCCATCCAGCGGGTTGTGGCACCAATGGTTAATTGCCCAGAGAGAGAGCTCCATCATGTTGCACCCTCACCATTTGGCAGCCGGCCGACAGATGCGAGTTGGGCGCGTGCCAAGATCATTACCTTCAACAGCCGGGCTCTGAGGGATGGAATATATGGAATGGCAGTCGTCAGTAGCCTCTGGCAGCCAGGGAAAATGGGAAATTGAACTGGGACTTACCCTCTGGTAAACTAACATAACTATGGAAAATCACAATTTTTCATGGGAAAACTCACTATAAATGGCCATTTTCAATAGCTATGTTAAATTACCAGAGGGTAATGGGATTTAATGGGACTTAATGGGATTTATGGGAAAATGCTGACCTGCAGTCGTTTTACAGATGCTCCTTGGAACTAGCACATAAATTGGAAGTACAAAATGACGACTGACCCATGTCTTGTTCCCCTTCAGTTTGACATGGAACCAAAAAGATGCACTTTTCCAGCAAGAAAAACAATGTATAATCAAGTTCTTAAATTCACTCTAGGAACGCGTTTTCAGGGTTCCATGGGTTCATTTTAAGTTTCAGCTGTGCACAACGATGCGCATGCATCTTTCACACATCCAGTCTACATCAGCTGAATGGAAATAGAGAGAGGGATACAGAGAGAGGGAGAGGCAGAAAGGTAGTGATCCAGACGGCTGAATACACAGGATTCCTTTTCAATACCTGGTTGGGGGGTTCCACATGTTTCCACTATCAAGCATGCATTGAATCAGGTACGGTATCCTCAGCTAACCACATACGTCAATCTAGGTGAATTGTGCCCCCCTTCTTCAGGATGAGTATCCGAATTGCCGAAATCTAGATCTTTGAGACATGCTGTATGTTTCATGCAGGGACAGTGAAACCACCAATCTTCATGGGCATGTTTCAACCATTCCATAAACACGTTTTGAACCAGGTGGTGGGTGATGCATGTGAGCGCCCGTTACCGCCCGTTGCCGCCCAGGCGCATGTGACTCTACCCAACTGCATCCCTCGGTGCCATCCTCGGCAAATCGTTGCCAGCAGGCATTCCCATCCCCCGTTGTGAAACAAACCCCCAGGTTTGCCATGGTTTAAGGAATGAGATCACATGGAATGGGACATGTTGGGACCATAGAATGGGGCTGTTAATTATAAACAATTAGCTTGATGGGTTTTAGCGGATTAATAATGCTTGTGCTATTTGGTCAGTGATTAGGTTTACACTGTTTACACCATCCCTCCAACTAACATAGACCTTGAGAATTGTCAAACTCAAAGAGAAAGTCCTCTTCCAACTTCCATTTAGCAGGGTCTATGCTAGTTGGAGGGCTTAGTCATTTTCTCCATCTGGGTCGGCGGGATAGCGGACTGACCTGATGGTGATTTGCTAAGGTGATAGGACTGACCTGCTTGGAAAGTGGCGTTGGGGGACCTGGAAGACCGGTGAATCTTTGATGGCACGCAGCCCTCCAGATAGATAGATAACATATATGAAAAGTTGGTGATATATCCCATTATACATATATATATATATGTTGTATACATAAGGTTTTGATTGCCCCCGGAACCTGCATTTCTATTGCGCTGGAAAAAATCACAGCCACTTTGGTCTTTGGTCTGGGCTGGAGTTAAAACTCTGCTTCTCACCTCCGGCGCAGCGACTCTTAGACCTTCATGGGCCCCCATGGCCCCATGGCCTTTGATCCATCCTTAGGTGGGAAAGTGTGAGCCCGCACCTGTGGCGACCCTCTCGTCTGGATCGTGGGGATCGGGACGTGAGCTCATTTGGAGTGGACTCTTGGTGTTGTTTGGAGAGCACTGGTGGGTCATGTGACATCATGTGACGTCCATTTCATATCCGCAGCTTTGAAATTGGATCCTTGGGACTCCCCAAAGGCAATGGATTTCAGAGATTTTCAGAGTGTATGCAATCTTGGAGTACTTTTTGCAGTTGGGGATCCCACAAGTGGGTCAAATAATCTTACTGACCCTCTTAGAATTACAGTAGATCCAAGCAGCAACCGAGCCGGCCACAGATCCCATCATCACTAACCAACAAGGTTCAACTGTGGGCCTGACCTTGCTAACCATTCCACAGGTGATCAACACTGATGTCCTGGAAGGTGGTTTGGAACATGGCTTTTATTTTTCCATATCTTGGGAATGTCATCATCCCAACTGACGAACTCCATCATTTTTCAGAGGGGTTGAAACAAACCACCAACCAGTGTCACTTTGTCATACTTGGTCCACATCCTTTTTTTACCCGGCAGCAGCTCGCGCCAAGGAATTGCCGTGAACAGAGTCCAAACCCCACCTTGGGGGTTGACACCTTTTACACTGGACTCCTGTGTGGCGGTTGCAACACGTTAAATGTCATGGAGAAGATTTTTTAAGATTCGTACTAAAAAAATGACTAGTTAACAATGTTAACATTTCATTATAACATATTCTGTTAACATCTATTAACGTTCATACGGATAATATAATTAATTAATTATCATACATTGCGCTATTTGAAGTCCCAATTGTACATGTATGTTCATTCCTATTCAGCATGATTGATTCAAATGATTCAAATGACCCGACAGTCTTGATCACCTGTCCATTCTGGAGCACGCAAGCATCGCCAAGACATGATAAGGTATGCATTATCAGAGGTTTCGTTCAGCTCGGCAATGTCGAACATCACGGATTTAGCATGATTTAACTTTAGTTATGTAGTCAAACCTATTTATGAAAGTGATAATTATACAAATTATAATTATACTACATGAAAGATATTCCATGGCTGTGGAGGCGGCACAGGGCCGCGCATCCATCAGCATCACCCAGGTTGCAATCCATCCAATCTAAATCCGCTTCCATCACATCGATGCGACATCCCGGTTCAACTGAAACCACTTCCATGGATACTTCCATCCCACCTCCAGTTTCATATTTCATCATCCCAGTAGCCCTATAGAACAACAAGCACCTAATCATCCCTAGAACCACCATCCCTACCCCTGGATAACCCTTACCCCGTAACCCAGGCCGACAAGTTCCACGTTTGCTACTGCGATCGTCACTACGCCGCCACCTGCATGGCTTGGGTCAAGGTGGGCGTGCTGAGCGTCAGTGGACCGCAAGGCTCCGGCTCTTTGAGGCAGGGGAAACGGCCCTATGAGCGGGGTGAGACAGGGGGAACCCTGGGGTAGCCTGGGAGCTGGATGATTTTGAGGGGAAAGAGGTATGGAAAATGAACACTAATGAACAGTTGGTGAGAATCTGCCTTGGGAGATCCTCCACAATGTTTCCACTTCCTTTTTTTCACGGAGAGTCTCGTTCGAGAAGCTGAGGGTTGTTTAGCTTTAACTCACTGCCTCAACCCCAGCTCTGCCAGGTTTGTGGCGAATCCAGCCCAGCCCACCACCATCAGTATCCAGGGCATTGGTTTGGCAGCTCGTTTGCAGCTGGGGGGTTGGGGAAGCTGTTGATGTGGCAGGCCACACACCCAGCGCCTTGTTGTTTTTTTGTCCCAAGGAAAACCCGAGCGGCGTTTTGTGATTAATTGTGCGCACGGGACAACCCCACATACCATTCTGCAGAATCCCTTGCCTGGTAGTTCAATCTATTTTCTTACTGACAGCTCCATTAGCACCACTTGTCCATGCACTTCAGACTTCACAGCCTAGGCGACAGAAGATAGGCAAACTGGGGGGCTGGAACTGGACTGACATGCTGGAAAGCTCATCAATCAGTGACATATTGAAGCAAAACAGCAAGGCAACTCCTCACAAGTGGGGCAAACAAGTGATACTGAAATAGGAGAGGTCTTGACCCGTGAGAACTCACACAGGATTCACAAGTAGCTGGAATCAGCCTGCCAGTGAATCATCGACGTTGTTGCTGATGAATATCCCTTCTTGATCGTTGTACAATAGCGCTACACAGATTTTGAACACCCTCCCAGTGATAGTGGCTATCGGTGGATTATAACTTCTTGTCCTGGTTTTTTCGGCTTGCATTGGCAATCGCGTTTGATTTCGGGAAAGACTTCAATGAAGCTGTTTCTGGTAGAGATCCGTATGCATAGGTGTGGATGAACATTCCCATTTCCACGCACATTTGTTGCTGACAGTCATTATAACCAGTTGCCACTATGCTGAAAGCCACTGCTGCACCAATTTCCACGCAACTTAAATCAACCCAGTGAAATCGTGAAGAAATACAGTACCGATGTTCTGTATTACAAAATTGGATTGTTGGAAAATCAGCAGAAAACACCACAAAATGCTGGTTAAGAAGAAAAAACACAGACATGGTTTCAGGCAAAGCTGTTTTCCCTTAAACCATCTTAGCCTTAGACCACTTCATTGAATGATAGCATTTTCCTCCATCAGATCGCTCCAGGATTCGCATCATCCCGCAGACTGTGGGATGCATGCAAGTGACTGAGGCAGGGGGGGAATTTCAGAGTCACTGTACTCGCTGGGTTGGATCATGTTGGATTCCAAGTCACAACAACTGATGGTAGTGCATGGTAGTGCTGCAGGGCACCACACCCACCACCACGGGGCTCGGAGCTCAAGGGGTGACAGTTATCTGAGAGTTGTTGGGGATGCGGCGATTAGTGGCAAATATCTACAACACACACACACACGCACACATATCACATATATATATATATTTATTGCATCATACTCGTACATATTATACAATACGTAAGTCATCATAATACGTAAGTCATCATCAGTCTGAGATTTTCCGAAAGTCATGATCATAACTGTTCCTCGGTGGTTTGATGTTCTTTCATGTTCATTCGTGATTTCTAATCAGAGTCATGGCATGATAAATCTCAATAGCTGCCAAGATGGCTATTTTTCCGGGATGGACGGAAAAGGTCAAACTTATTCATATCAGGCCTGGCTGTAACTCCTTGCAGGAGATGCTAAAAGATCTAAAGGAAGTTTAGGGGACAACCCATGGCATGGCCCAACGCTGTTCCCAAGGGCCGGTCGAAGGATGCAGGCACAGCTCTGGGTGGCAAGGGCTGGAAAGAATCCCTTTATAAACCTATCTGGGCTGTTTAAGAAGCAAGATGCCTATGGGTACCTACACTTAAAGAATTGAACAGCATTGACCATCATTGACCATCATTGAGCTATTTCGGTTAAAGTTATCTACGTCACGAATCGGGAGCTTACTTGGGGGGCCACGTCCATGGCATGGCCGTGCTGTCCCAGTTCATCGACGGCCCTGCTGTGCAGTCCTCGATGTTCGACTTCCGCTCTGGTGCTGCCACCAACGCGTGGGGCTGCCACAGTCATCGGGGTGAGTGGGTTGAGTGGATTCAGATTTCTGATTTCTGGGTATGCCACCAGTTTTACCAAAAAAGACGATTCAAATCAACACATTAATCAAATAAATAGCGTTTGCCCCTTGTGAAAACTCTATTTTAGAGGATTGGCCACGTACGGGCCTGTGGATAGATCATTGTTCGCTAATGGGAACCTGATGGTAAAACTTTCCAAGTGAAAGTGATTCAATAGGGAAACTGAGAAATTCAAATGGAGGGTGTCAGGCCTTACAGAGGCTGTGTTTGAATGTTTTTTTCGTTTGTGGATTCTCTTGCGCGAAGAGGGCCCATGGGGAGCTAGAAACATGGAAGCGTGTATTCTGTGCAGTTTTTGTTTGTGTTCATTGTGCTCATTGAAGTCCTCGGAGAACGGTGCGAAGGATAGCAAAGGATCATTCTAATGGTCAGCAAAAAGAGGTCCAAAACAGCTATGTCAGTAGCCCCCAAATCCGGCTGAAGCACTGCAGCTGAGAGCTGAGGAATGGCACAGAGGCATCGTGGGATATCCTCATAGCACCTGAGGGCACTTACAATGCTCCAGCCCTCAGTTGCTGCAGGGCCAGCGGCCACCCATGACCACTTGGTAGTCATGCATGGTGGTGAAAATTCATGACTCCTCATCATTTCCGTGTAGGAGACATCCTCAAACAAAGAACCAACACCAACCAACTGGCTACTGATCAAGGCAACCTTTGGCCCAAGTCGTGATATTTTTGCCAGCAGAGAGGCCACTCGCAGTCACTTCGCTCTTTTCGTTTGTCCATGAACTTTGCGCAACATCTGGGAAGGGTCTCGAAGTCTGCTCAGGAGAAATTTATTCAAGAAACGATTGAGAAGTTCAAGACGGAATGTCAAGTCAACGCATCTCAGGGGCTGTGTTCATGTGAACTTAGCTTTCGTAAACCAACATGTTTTGACGAGCAATTTCCTGCGATGATACAAAAGCTGGATGTAATGGGCTTTGATCCCTTGCAGAGTCGACAATTTTTCACCGGTAACAAATTTCAAATCAAAGCAATGTGGAAAGCAGAGTCGCCAGAGCGGAAAAGACGCAGAAAGGACCCGCAAGGCACCAGCAGCAGCTGTCCAGTTTGCTTGGAGAATCGTCCTGTGGTGGTTTTGATGCCATGCGGACATGTGGTGTGCCAACAGTGTCAGGCATCTCACAGATTTAGTCAGTGCCCAATGTGCCGTGTAGATGTTACTGGGGCCACGAAGGGCTTGTTCCTGTGAACTGGCGTTTTTGCCTCCAGCATTGCCTGTGGTTGGTCCATGTCAGTCTCAGCGTGCCCTGTAATTGCTCGACTTTGATGAGATGATGACAGGGAGCATTTGATATTTGTACATATTTGATTTGATCATATTTGTATATCCTGGACTGGCGCGCCAATTGCGTCGGCAGAGACAGCCTGTGACGTCCGGAATGTCAAGATATTGAGTGTGAAGTCGTAGGGTTTGGCACTGGTGCTGTTCAGAGTCCAGAGCCGTGGCCTGAAGTTGGCTTTTGACTTGACTAGCTCAACCAACCTGATCCTGCAGAAAAAGAGGCTTGGCAACCCAAACATCAGATGATCCAGCATCCAAAGGTCAATCTTCAATGACTTAATGATACCTCAGCATTTCATTTTCGTGGGTGAGTTCTTGAGGGATTGCATTCCTGAATGAGGTGTGCTGGTGTGGCGCGTCTGAGGGCAGCTGTACATCGTTTCTCGTGCAATTGAAGATTGGGGGTGGCCAAGGGGGTGGCGTCCAAGGTTTGTCAAAAAAAAGGGCAACCCACAACCCAGTGATTGATCATAATTTCCACATCAAACTTGCCATAAAATCGGGTATCCCGCATTTTTCGACAACGCCAGATGAAACAAACCAAGTTGATTCATTCGGGCTTCCTCCCGAAAGTGGTACTGTGATTTCTTACTCAAATGATACCCTCCCAATAAAACAGCTAAAGGATTTTGGTGGAACCAGGGCTTTAAGTCTTTGATCTATATAAATTGTCTTCACATGTTTTCACCATGACTGCCATTAGTTTTTGGGGATTTTAGAGTAGCCGGGCCTTGAAATTATTCAACATCTCTGATCTACAATCTAAATTATACAAGGATCCGTGGATGAGAGTCTTAGAGCTCAGGTGCCTCAAGTCGTTGGGTAGATAGTAAAACCCAGGGAAAGTCAAAGGTCAAAGGTCGTCCCCTGTGCTTCAAAGATGGTTCCCCATGAATGTCGTAAACCCAATCAACCCACCATTCGGGGATGGTTTCGACAACCCATAAAAATGGTGACTTTGGTGATGGTTTTTGGTTGAGCTTCGCACATTAGTGCGGATATCATTAGCATGAAGTATATAGCAATCATATAATAATGGAATTTCATGGCATTTAACCATCAACTATAGGGATAATTGAATCACAAACAACAACGATATTGGGATCAGAAGTTTCCGGACTGAGGGGAAATGACTACTCGGTGCAACTTGGTACTTTGCAAGTGGCCAAGAAGAGAGACTGCGAGGCAATGGGCTTGAGATGATTTGGATTGATTTGGGCAAACTGGTAAATAGCAAATGGCTGTGAAAATGGGGGAGATAGATTTACCCACATGGGGAAATAGCTGGTAAATGGATGTTCATCCCCTAAAAATTGTATTTATAGGTATTGGCCACATTGCAAATTTCATGCGACCATGGTGACGACCGTTCCACCATCTTCCAGCTCCACGCCGGATGGTTTTTCAAGAGACGAATGCCGGTGTCCAAAAAAAACGTGATGTATTGGAAAACCTGTAGATGATTACAACATTATAGATATTTAGATCATATTTGACTTATAAGGCATATTATATCATATTATGACATATATTCTAAACCTTCATTTTTTCGTGGATTTCCCAGCCACGGTGCGAAAAAACCGGGTCTCCCTGCTGCCATTGGCTCAGTTCTTTCCCGGGTTTTCGCCGCCGTTCCATGGGCCGTGCGGCTGCGACGGACTACGTCAGGCTTTCCGTGCGGCTTGGCTCGAAGGTCAGTGGTTTGTCTGGAGAGTCCACTGCAACAAGGGATAACTATGGAAAATCACCATGCTATTAATGGGTAGTGATGTTTACTAACCATCAAACTGGTGATCTAATGGAAATAAGAATGGAACTAGCCTTTGGTAAACTAACATAGCTATGGAAAATCACATGTTTTAATAGGTAAATCAATTTTTAATAGGTGATGAGTATGAATGATAATGCCAGATTATGGATTATGACAACAAATAGGGACTATGGACGAGTTGGATGAGTATAAATGACAACGCCTATGATTGATGAAGAATGGATCATGGAAAAATGAATGATTCATTATGGACAGTTATGGAGATGCCAATGAAACACCGAATGATGGCTGAACCTGCCTGTGTTGTTAAGGAACTATGTTTTTGACTTGCGCGACTCTGTGAGTGAAGCTCCGTTGTTTTTTTCTCGGTTTTTGGGAAGTACTGGTTACAAAACAATATTACATGATTACATGTACATGTATCATGTGTATATATTGTATATATTTTATCACACCCGCCTGGTTGGAAAGTGCACCCATTTTTTCTGTGTGACTGTGTTGTTTTTAGCTTCTCGCCAGTGTCATGTAGTCGGAATCCAGGTTGTTCGCGCCGCAGTTGGGCGTTGAATGTTCCTCTGTCTTGTGCTGACTGCAGTGCTTCGAGGACTGCCAGGGCGACAGGTTTTGGGTCAAAACTTGAGACCTGGGAACATCTGGGAACGGTGAACGGAACCCCCAACAGTGTTACTGTTTTGTTCATGAGTCAATGTTCATATGGGTGCATCTGAAAATTGGACATGCCTCCCAAATAGATGCAAATATAGCATGTCTGAAGAAATGTCTAAAATAAGTTCGGAAAATGAAGATAACTAGTCGACCTAGGGGTACTCTATTTTCAGACAAACCTACGTATTTTTCAGAGGTAAATTAAACCTTCCAACCCTGATTGTGAACTACACCCATGAGTTCAAAGCCAACCATCCTTGCTGCGAAGAATTGGATTGAGATTTTTGTTAGGTAAACGGGAAACATTCCACAGATTGCTGGCCCATCTTTGCATTGACACTGATTGTGTCTCCAAACGCTTCCGCGTTCAATTTCATGTCAACCATCGGTACAGGCACAGCATATTTCCATATATTTCCGTGATGATTCCACTGCAGCCCAACCAGACTTCCTCCAGGATCTCAAGGTGTGGATCGGAGAGAATTGCTGCGACGAGAGATCGGCGGCTTGTCCGAGACTGGGGATGAGGGTTTAAACGCAAGATAAACACATGTACATAAATTAATGAACATGCAGTATTGGAAAGGAAATGGGTTTGCGGCAGATTTCCCTCTAATCAATTTTCATCAAGGGAAACTCTGGTTTCTGGAAGTCTGCAAATTTATGGAAAACAAAGGGAGAGATACACTCGTTGTGAGTAGCACAGTCATAAAGAAATTCAATTAGTTTGCATTTTTGTATTGATGCTTTGGTACGCTTATGCACTCAGAACCCCAAAAAAATATGAGAGACTACACGGTGACATCATGGAGAAGAGTAACTCTTCTCCATTGCCACCCAAACTGGAAACCCTGGTAAAGTATTGGATCTGTATGGATTCCTAATATTGAATACTACCCCCAAATACTAGTACGTGTGTATATATATATATAACATATATAAATAAATAAATAAACAAATAAATAAATATATATATATATGGAATTTAAACCTAGCATTAACAATCATTAACCATACTTCTGGAATTTAAGGTCATTTTTGTGCCGACACAAAGGGGGGGTTCTCACGATGACTGGTCTCCTCAAGCCCAGGTAGTGCCGCGGGGATCTCCGTCCTCTCAGCGAACCTTGGGGATAGCATGGCAGGTAATGGGATTGAATGGTGGATTATGGAGCTTAATGATGGTTAATCATGATTTCATAGATGGTATCTAAACCAAAGCAATATAATGAATTAATTATGGGTTCTAATAGTTCTAATCATCATTTCATAGGGGATTTAATGATGGTTAATGGGGATACCACGAGATGATCATTGGGATAGACTGGGAGAATTGTCTGATGGACAGTAGCCTTTTTTGTCATGAACCATAAATGCTGGTGTAACCTCATGTAATCAAACATGATAAATCCCCAAGTTGAGGGAATCTTTTACACGTGAATCACGAACCTGTTCTTCATTGATCTTGGCTCTCCAGCAAATGTCCTCCGACAGGCCCCCAGTTTCTGTAGGAAATTGTAGGACATTGAGCTCAAAACATGGTGAATTGGCCATTTCCAGGCTAGTTACAAGGAGGAGACATGTTTTTATTGTTGCCGCCTCACCTGCCTTTGCATCAGGAATCGGCCTTTGCCGCCGGGTCCCAGCCGCACCTGTGAAGACTTCGTGTCACATGTTGAGTGCAAAGGCACTCGTGGCTACGATCAGTGTCTGGCCTGGTTTTTATGGTGCTGATCTGATCATGTGATTCCGGATGATGGGCAGTTTTTCAGGTTGGGATTGGCGGGGAGGATCCCCAAATTTTCAGGCAATTTTTTGCAATTTATTCATGTCAATAATAGTTGATGGAAAAAGATGAAAAATACGGGAACCCCCAAATAGATAGAACGGTGTTTCCAGGATGCTCCAGATGATCTTTTACTAATTTCCAGGCTGGCAGCTTGTCTATCTATTTTGGGGTTTCTATAGTCCAGTATGAGCCAAGCTGATGTATGATCAGTTTAGGGCGCTTTGGGTTATGCTTGAGGGCACAGTTGCTTAACCTGGAATTCAAGATTGTGGATGTTGACTCTGATGTTGCATGTTGTGCTTGGAGTAGCATGACAGAGTACCAATATTCAGGTGCATAGATCATTTGTTTCTGGTAAGTGTTCACTTATGTGTGGGTAGGCATGCTTGTAGTATACAGATTGTACATTGAATCACTGACATGCCTTCTTATATTTGCCCCCACAGTGTATCACCCCATCAATGGATGTAAATGTATCACGCATCATGCGTGACAAAGTGATAAATTATGAGAAGGCCCTGGGAACGGGGGAATAGGGAAGGATGATGGCATTCACTTGTTCCTTTGTCATCATCAGCTATGTGTCAAATTGTAATTGAAAATGATTCAGATAACATCACTCTCTCTCTCTTTTTGACTTGCCACCACTAACCATTTGATCAAGATATCTACCCTTTGGTAATGTAACATAGCTTTGGAAGCCATGGCCCATTTAGTTTGACGACAAGTCCTTATTAAACACGGCACTTTCCCA